GGAATCCGGGCTCGAATGATATAGACGTGATGAGCCCTGTCGAGATCTCTCATTTGCCCCCCAACCCGTCTGAATATCTCGTTCTAGAGACAAGTTATTCATCAGCCCGCCTCCTGCCCGGGCCGGCCCGCTTGCAACTATGAAAATCTGAAAAGCTGGCTTTTTTTGAATTTTTTAAAATTCGATATTCTGGGGAATTCCAAAGCTTTCAAATACTTAAAATTTGAAAATTTGAAAAAATCGCAATTTTTCAAAATTTGTATTTTTTCCAGAATCTCCAATGCTACTCGTGTCTGACATTCGCTTGCGGCAATCACGGATTCCGTTGCCAACTGCCTCCAGAACATCCCAATGGAGACGTCTCCCTCGTCCATCTACCACTTCCCACCGACCAAGCTCCTCCAGGCGAAAAATGCTCTGACAAGTGCTGGAGAACGCTGAAAAAAGAGAAAATCCATAAAATTTTGACACCGAGCGCCGAAGAGATTAGCGAGGGACAAGCCAAGATTTGGCTGTGCAAAGAGAGTATCGGAAAAATGAGCATTGAGAATGGAGCGATGATTGCGGCCATGTTTTTGCTGGATCAATCGGATGTGAGTGGGCAGAAATACAGAAATTTGAACATGGAAATTGTAAAAATGGCCTAAATTTGGTTGGAAACGGTCTGGGATTGACCGAAATTGCCAGATAATTTTCCTGATTCAATCTAAAATGCTTTGATTTTCGGTCTAAAAAAGTCAAAAACGTCTAAATTAGGCTTAAAATGAACTTAAAATGATTGAAATTTGGCTCTAAATTAGGCCAAAATATGCGTAAGGACGCCTAAAATGGCTTAAAATTGCCTCTAAAATAGTCTAAATCTGGCGAAAAATGACCCAAATTTGATCAGAAATTCGTCGAAACCTGGTCCCAAAAACTCTAAAAAATCATTCAAAAATCTAGAGTTTTTGACTCTATTTAAACCCATAATTGCCCAAAAATCATTTCAGATAAAAAACGAAAAATCTCGAATTTCAGACATTCTGTGATTTCGTCAAAAGCTACGTTCGAGAGGGAAGCGAGCCGCGATTCAAGACGTGTCGTGATATCTATGAACTGATTGCGAGCTTGGCCGAAAATTTTAGCGATCGACAGATTCTCATTGGACAGGCTCCCAAGATGTTGTGAGTATTTTAAAACTAGAAAAAAAACGAACTGAAAATGGCTGAAATCCGTCTGAAATTAGTGTTTTTGTCCAGTTTTTCGTGTTTGCCGATTTTTGAAAATTTGATGCTTTTCTGAAAATATCGAAATTCCAGACCGCACCAAGCCCGAGACAACGCTTTCCGTCGCCTATTCGCTAATAAAGAAAAGAAACTGTCCGAATCGGAAACCCAATCCAACCAAGACTCTGCCTCCATCAACGGAACGGATTCCGAATCAACGAATGGAATGGAAGATCGTAAACCAACGCGCCCAATGAAAACGGGCAAAAAGAGTCTATTCGATACAACGCTCCCGTTCAAAGGATGCCGTCACAATGGACCATGTGGACCGGATGTTCTCGAATGTTCCTGCCGAGAGAATATGACATGTTCTGCGCATTGTCATTGTGATAAGAACTGCAAACAGCGGTTCCCCGGATGCGCATGCCGTCCCGGTCAGTGCAATCAGAATAAGTGTCAATGCTTCTTGGCTGGATGGGAATGTGATCCATTGACATGTTTTAATTGTAAATGTGATGATATAACGAATCCGAAGAGTTGTAAGAATATTCCAATGACAAAAATGCTCCAAAAACGAATGATGTGCTGTCCGTCGGGCATAGCTGGAAATGGGTTATTCCTGTTGGAAAGTGTTGAAAAAGACGAATTCATTACGGAGTACGTTGGCGAGAGGATATCCGATGCGGAGGCTGAACGGAGAGGAGCGATATATGATAAGATACAGTGCAGTTATATTTTTAGTGAGTTTTTAGATAAAAACTTTTGTTTCGGAATGAACTGAAAATTATTGAAAAATCCAAGAAACTCAAAATTCAAAATTGAAAAGTGAGAATAAACTACAGTAACCTCCAAAACTAAACTAATCCTAATCACTACAGTAATCTCAAAACTCAAAACCTACAGTAAACTCCAAGACTACAGTAATCGAAGACGCTACTGTATTGTCTTCATAACTACAGTAACCTCAAAAACTACAATAATGCCAAAACTACAGTCACCTCAACAGCTAGAGTAATCTCCAAGGCTACAGTAATCGAAGAAACTACTGTATTGTCTTGTACAGTAATATTAATAACTACAGTAATATAAAAAACTACAGTAACTTTAGAACCTACAGTAACCTCAAGAAACTGATGTCTTCTTGAAGCTACAGTAATCCTATTTCTACTTAAAATTTGGCGAAAACAACTGTATTCTTGAAAGCTACAATATCTCAGAAACCACAGTAATCTTAGTAACTACAGTAACCTATGAAGCTACAGTAATCTCATTTCTACTTGAAATTTGGCGAAAGTTCGACTGAAAATTGCTCATTTTTTATTAAAAATTGAAATTTCATGTATTGAAGGTTAGTCAATTTGGCTGAAAGTTGAGCTTTCTTACAGAAATTCTGATAGAAATGTAACTGGAAATGACCGATTTGTAGAATATTTGACATTGATCAGAATATGACCCGATTGTCTTAAATCCTGATCGAAACATTTCCCCATTTTCCAGATCTCTCATCAGGCGGCGCAATCGACTCGAACAAACTGGGAAATTTGTCGCGTTTCGCAAATTGTGCATCGGAAAAGGATGCGACACTGTACGCACGGACGAAGGTGATCGGCGGTGAGCATCGGATAGGATTCTATGCGAAACACGCGATGGAACCGAACACTGAGCTGACGTTTGATTATGGATACTCGTTTGATAAGTAAGTGATATTGATGAGGGTGGCAGAGGGAACTACTCGTGAAGAAAGTTAGACCATCGAATTTTGATGGCCTAGAAAACCTATAGCTCAGCAATTATGGAGATAGGATTTTAAAAATTTTGAAAATGCTAGGTTATTCGAATTCATGAAGACCAGATTCGTCAGATTAAGCTAAGCCCTTGGCCTACAGTAGTGAATGGTGGCCTAGAAATGCAAACAATGGTCTAGAATTCCTCATTGCTGGAAATGGAGTGACCTAGAAAAATTAATGGCCTAGAATCTCTAAATTGTTCAAAAAACTTTGTCGCCTAGAAGCCCAAATGACTGGTCTAGGATCTGAAATTCTAGTTTCTAGAAAGCACTCAGTTGCGGCCTAGAATATACAAACCATGGTGGCCTAGAATTTTACATAACGTGGCCGCCGTGGCCTAGAAATCCGAATGGGGAAGATCCAGAAAAAGAGGTGGCCTAGAAACTTAATTGGCTGTCCTAGAATACCAAATTTCAATTTCTGAGGAGCCATAACCTAGAATCTCAAAGCATGGCCTAGCTAACTGGCAGTGGCCTAGAAACCCTAATCAACTTTTTTTTCTCTTCCAGCAAAGAAAAGATGCGACGAGAGCGACGTGTGTCTCCCGTCGAACTGCCCAACGAACCCTCCTCCGATGACGTCGCCAGCACATCCACTAGCTCACCAATGGAGTTATCAGAACCGCTGAAACCGATAACTTCGAAATTTGGTCACTATGATCCGGATAACGATAATCATTTGTATTTTTGATTCTTCTTTTTTGTCTATCTCCTCTAAATTTCAGTTACATTTTTTAAATTTCTTAAAACTGACATTTTTTCTTATATCTTCAATAAGGAACCCTCATGTTTTAAAAACGATCTCCTTGATCACTATCACTTCTTGTTCGATTTGCTTTCCCCCTCCCCCACCATTCTCGGATAATTTGAAATTTCTCAGTGTTTTCTTTTTGCCCTCCTGTGCCCTCATAATATCAATTTAATATAACATAACTTCTTCTTATCATGTACTCCTTGAACTATAAAATACTAATTATTTTTTCATTCTTTTCCTTACCATCTCTCTGTAATTGATATGTTGACTTGAAGCGAAAAAATAATTAATAAATGTTTGAATTTTTCAAGAAAAGGCGATTTCAGAAAATTGGAACTACAGTAATCCTAATATTACTGTACTCTTGAAAACTACCGTAACCTCGAATCGTTTTGATTTCTTAGAGTCTGTGGATTTTCGAGGTTTTCGGAATTTCCTTGAACTTCTGAATATTTGTTAAGGGGGGACCCTTATGTGATTTTTTTTCGACCAAAAAAATTTTTTTCGAGTTTTTCGATCTTTTTTGATCAGACAGACAAACAATCCGAAATACGAAAAAACAATGGAAAAAATTATATTGAGAGCTCAAAATTAGGCTCAAAAATACAGAATTTTTGACACCGGGCCCGGGCCTTGAAAATTTCCTCAGGCCCGGGCTTTGGCGGGCCGGCCCGGAATTTTACAAGTATGCCTTCTATTGATTTTTGTTGACATTCTGCTTATTCTATTTTCCAATGAATCCTATATGAATGGATTTAGCAATTTATTATTTTTCTGGAATCTTAAATGTAAAAGGTGAGTGAACTGTAAATTTTAATGAATTCAAAAATTTTGAGTTTTGAGTTTCTGGAAATTCCTGAGTGTTCAAAAAAGTTTTAACTTTTAGAACCTTGCAATATTATTGACTTTTGAATTTCTCTCATTCAATGTTTTCAAAAATTCCGAATTTTCGATATTCTCGAAAGTTCCCAAATTTTTCGAAATTCCAAATTCGAAAACTCGCAACTTTCAAAAATTCGGGAATTCGAAAAATCACAATTTCAAAAATTCAAAAAAAATTCAAAATCTTTTTCAGAATCGAAGGAATGTGTTGAGGTCGAGGTAACAGTCATCGATAGTTTCAAGCAAAAATGTCTCCCCGCAAAAATTTCACTTTCGGAAGTTATCAATCGCTTCAAAATGCCATAAAATGAGAGGGATATCTGCATCAATATTCTTTCAAATGAAGAATCGGGATCCGGTACCAAGTAAGTTGATTATAAAATTTTAAAAAACGCCATTATCAAAACAATATATAATTAATTTAAACAATATTCTTGTGGTTTTGTTTCTAGAAGATCTCACATTAGTTCAAATTCTCTAATGAAAATTACCGTATTTCCTCTAATCAACGCTCACTCAAACCGTCAACTTCGAGCTCAATTATCTCAATTCTTATGAAAGATACAAAAAAGTGATCAACTGGCAAAATGGCTATCATAATATCACCAAGATTTTATCAGTTGACCATTTTTTGACATCTCTCATCGGAGCCGAGATCATTGAGCTCAAAGTTGACGGTTAGGGTGAGCTTCTATTAGAGGTAATACGGTAGTCTGAAAACCTGGTAATCATGTTAATAATTTTTCAGATTCGATAAAGCATTTTGTCCATCTCGCCTCGTGAAGCAGTCGTTAGAGAAGCGGTTGGAAAACCTGAAGGACGAAGCGATAACCGAGGAGAGAAAGAAAGAATCGGTTGAGCAAAAGAAGAGTATTGAACACCAACTGAATAATTCTCCGAAATATTCGAAGTTTGTGATTGTCTCAATGGGTGGATCCTTCACGAACGTCCATGTTGACTTCTCGGCTTCCTCGGTATTCTATCACGTCTTCGAAGTTAGAGGATTGAACACCAGCTGAATACTTTTCTATGGGTGGATTCTTCATGAACGTCCATGTTGACATATGAAGATACATAAGGAGTACGGGACGTCTGGAAATTATGAAGAACCAATGGGAGCGACTCATAAACAAAGCAGGAATGACCGAAATAATCATTGTGTCTGTCTTTTATCTTCAACTCCTTCATCTAATAAACGATTTCTAACCTTGAGAAACTTGTGTTATCCTTCACTTTTTAAAGATTCCATTAACAAAACGTTCTAAAAAATAGTAAAAAGATTCTTCGAAAAAATGTGAAGCTCAGCCTTCTAAAACCTACCATAAATGCTCTAGTAGAAGCCCACCCAATACGTGCACATTGAGCTCAATTATCTAGGTTCCTACGAAAAATACAAAAATCTAATGCCAACATCTTATCCAAAGCAAAAGTGCAAAAGTTTTGATATGAAATTCAAAAATCAAAAATTTAGAAACTTGAAAATTTAGAAATTCCACCGTACCATCGAAATAAAATATTCCATATGAGAATCCACATGTTGTGACCCAAGGAAACTTATATTGAGATCAAGCATGCTGCCAAAAATTGTCCAAAAACCAAATGCAAGTTCCATAGATTGCGGGATCTTTCTAATAGGAGCCAACCCAAATCGTCAACATTGTACTCCATTATCTTGAGTCCTGTGAAAAATATTAAAGTTTTGTCAACTAATCAAATGTTAATGATATTATGTTTAAAATGTTGATAGTTGACCACTTTTTGATATCTTTCACAGGAATCAAGATAATTGAGCTCAAAGTTGATGGTTTCAGTGGGCTCCTATTAGAGGAAATACGGTATTTGTGGAACACCTGCGCAAACAAATTCAAATCATTCCAAGATACGCTGACAGAAGAAACGGAAAAAAAACCAAGAAATAATTAATTCTGATTTCTCATTTTCAATAAATGAGTCACTGATACATTCAACGTCTTTTTTGCACCGCTTAGCTACTCGCTTGTAGGTCCACATTCCCTTCTAATTAAGAACCAATCGATTTGTTGGGACATTTAAACAGGAAAAAACCAATTGATTTGTACCCCATATTGACTTGACGCAAAGAAAGGTTCCATGCCCCTTCTACCAAACGAAACTGTAGATCTGTAGATGACGTCATAAACCTGCGTCTCCTTCTTTTGTACCTCCCTGTTGATTAGCACTCTGCATATAATCAATTAATTGATTTTTTGCAGAGAAAGATCCCATCTACTCACCAAGTACATCATTCTTCTCTTTTGACGACTTTCTGAATAGACGTCTAAATATTCTCTGGGAATTCTCCAGAAATCCTAAAAGTGAATGGATTTTGGAGAATTCCCTTCTATTGATTTTTGTTAATATCCTGATTTTTATTTCTATATATTTTCCAATGAATCCTTTGGCCATTTCCCTTGAAGTAAGTTTGAATTTTATTTTGAAAATGGGAGGTTAGTTGTGCTGAAAATCATTTTTTCTTCAACGGCATTTTTATAAAGCTGAGGTAATTTGTCATTTTTCAGGCTGAAGAAGGGAACAAGAAGAGATGAGAAATCTTCATCAGAAACTGGAGGATTTCATCAAGGTTATTAATGACAAACAGAAGGAGATGCAAGAACACCAGACGGAAGTGGAGAAAGTTCAAAAGCAGGACAAAGTTGTTTCAGATGTGAGAAACTAAGGGATCTAAATCGAAACCAGGAGTTTACGGCAAGAACAATCGCAATCTTCCAAAGAATCAACGACGCGGATATCATCATCGTCATGTTCTTTATGGAGGAATATGTCAACAAAAATGTTCTTGTTCCAAACTACAAAGGAGAGAGTTTCGTTCTCAACGTTCCTTCAAAATGGCACAATCCCCTGGGACAAGTCGCATTGATTGATTGGTATCGCAGACTTTTTGATCAGAGGCCGAAAAACGGAGAAATCGAGAACGACCAAGTGTTTGAAGATCTGGAACGACTACAAAGACCTGGAGAAGTTTCCTCTCTACAGCAAATCGTTGTGGCAAAGGACAATTTCTTCGCCTATCCAGGAGCCGCTCAAGGGAACGAAGATGGTCAAGCGAATCGCCGGGAGAGCAGTCGACTACTTGGTCATCTCGACTACGGTCGCTCTCCAATGGGCCTACGCAATTTTCGTAAGTTTTTTAATTACAGTAAAACCTGGAAAAATATGCCTAACTGGCGATGTTAGAAATGGTACAAATGCACGTTTCAAAAATAGTTATTTGGACACTTATTGGTTTGAAAATGTCTACTTTTGACAATTATTGAGAATAACATCGATTCTTTATCATATGCAGATTTTTGGTAAACCATAATATTACAGAGAACTACAATCATGGTCAACTACGCTCAACGCAAATCTGTCCGCAAGTCGAAGGAAGTTCCTGAAGATACCTTCTGAACACAATGGCTCCCATGGGCAGTGTTTTAAACCCACCGGGTCAACTTTGAGACAATTTTTGAAAATTTCCTTAACTGAAAATTAAATATTTTTTCAATTAACTTTTCAATAAACAAATCATTGTAAAACTGCTCAAAGACGCCTTGCACATAGAATCCCAAAGATTTTAGTACGATTTCTCATCGGTGTAAATTCACAGTCTGATCTACAGTAAACTTTTTGTCTACAGTTTACAGTATTCTAGAGCAGTAGTAGTCTACAGTATACCTTTCGTCAACTACTCGTACTTGTGAGCCGACTCGATTCTATCAGTCCATGTATGATGAAGACTACAGTAATCCCCAAAGTACAGTGTTTAATCTCAAAACTGATGTATTCTTGAAAACTACCGTAGCCGCAGAAACTACAGTACCCGCGAAAACGTCTAAACATATTCATAAGAACTACAATATTCTGAATAACTATAGTAACCTAAAGAAACTACAGTAATCACAAGAAAATACAGTATCCTCAAAACTTCAGTAGTCTCGAAAACGACGGTACACAGGTAAGGCGCGACTGCCGAAAAGCGTACAAACGGCGACTGAAAATTTAAGAATTGGCTATAACTTACGTTTTGAAGAGAATTTTGTGACAAAAAGTACGAAAGACAATTATTAGTAATCGGACCATGAAAAATATGTATCTTCGTAAAATACCCTTCAAGAAAGAAAAAAAAACAGAAAACAAAAAAGAGAGTTGTTCTTGTATTTTTATCTTTATCACAGTTTCATATAATGAATAATGAAAAAAAAAATACTTGACATACTTTTTTCATTATGGTACGATTACTAATTATTGTTTTGTCACAAAACTTTCCCGATTTGCTTCAAAACGGAAAACAATATTTAAATCTTCAGCCGCCGTTTACGTACGCTCTTCTGCTGTCGCGCCTTACCTGCGTAATCTTGAAAGGTACCATAACCTCAAGAAACTGCTGTAATCTCAAGAACTACCGAATTCTTACAAAATCCAGTTAATTTTTGAAAGTTATCTTATTTTTTTTTGCTGGTTACGACTACTTATTTTTACACCGTTTATCTGCCCGCTTGTCGATCCACACTCCCTTTCAATTCCCTTCTAATTTAGAATCAATTGATATGTGGGACCTCTGAACCAGAAATGATTCAATTGATTGGTACCCTGCAATTGATTATGTAGCCCATATTGATTTGTTGCAGAAAAAGGTCCCTTGCCCACCCTTGTTCTGGGATACAGCCGTATATTGTTCCCCCAAATTCTTCGATACTCCGTTTTGACCCCAAATTGGTGCACCATTTGCTACTGTAGATGACGTAATAACTCTGCGACTCCTCCTTGTCTACACTCTCTGTAATCAATGTCTCCTTTTTTGTTGACATAAGAGTTCTCATACCATAAAGTGTCATAATGACCCTCACTTCACACCTGTCCATTTGAGAGAGTATGGAGATTGAGGAGACGCAAAAGTCGATAAAGAGTAAAAGACGCCCCCTCGTCTCTTCACATGGACGTCCCGCCCCTTCACCCCACCGAATACATCATTCTTCTCTTTTGACGACTTTCTGAATAGACGTCCAAATATTCTCCGGGAATTCTCCAAAAACCCTAAAAATGAATGGATTTTGGAGGATTCCCTTCTATTGATTTTTTTTATATTCTGATTTCTATCTAAGAATCCTGTTAATGAATGGATTTTGGATTTTTTCTATATTTTTCTGGAGATTCGAATGTAAAATGTGAGTTTTTTCGAAATCGTAAATTTTCTGAATTCCAAATTCATGAATTTTGAACTTCTGAAATTTCCTGAATGTTTAAAAAGTTGAAGAACCTTTCGAATGAGTTTTTTCTAAACTGTGAATTTTGGCATAGTGTCTTGAACTTTTCGAGTTTTGGAAATTCCATATTTTCAAATGGTTTTTCCTGAATCCAAATTTTGAAAGTAAAAATCTTCCTCTCAGAATTTGCGTAAAATAAAAGAAAACATTTTCAGATATGCCGAATTTCGAGAATCCATTCCCGCAGACCACGCATTTGCCAGTCGTGAAGCTTCTCTTGACTACACATCACTTCATCAAATGGGAAGGACAGTCCCAGTGTTCAAATATGGTCAGTTTGCCCCCTGTTTGAAATTACCGGTTGTAAAAGTTCTGAAAATTAGAACATGAAATTTATCAACTTTTGTAAAAAAACAGAAAAAAAACTAGTTTCAAACTCAAGCCTTGCAGTCAGAAGCATATAAAGATCTTAAACTTGTACCTGACTATGACTACTCTGCTTACTTGAAGTCCTAGCTTTCTTCAAACTTAGTTTTTTTCCAGGCGAATCTTATTTCAGTGTAAATCTCTGAAAGTTCCACAAAGTGAGATAAGCAGCGTTTGCGTATTCTGAGTTTTGAATTATTCAAAATAATAATAGTTTTGAAAAAGTTAGCACTAAAAAAGTAGAAGAATGAGAGCTATTCGACAAACCAATTAATTAACGCTTCTTTCAGAAAAATTGACTGGACGCCTTGAGCTCATGCCAGAAGCTCAACGATGCAAGTTCATCAATTTGCCCATCTTTGCTGATACACTGAACTCCTCACATCCATCCAAAGCCGATTACTCGAGAACCTTCCACTGCTTGGGGATTTACAAGTATACTGGCTACCCAGCGAGGCAAACAGTAAGTTTGAAAATGAATCAGTGGTCTCAACTTTTTCGATTCCTATCCATGAATGATATCAAGAATTCACCAACTGACCAAAATTGTTTCAGTTTATAGATTTTTGATTTTTCTAATAGTAACTAAGAGAATTGAGCTCGAAGTGTGAGTCGCGTTCTATTCAAAATTAACTTTTACATTCTACTTTTTTTTTGAAATTGAAACATCAAATATTTCAGTTTACGGTTGCTGACGAAACAGCTCCAGAGGCAGAAGCCGATCTGTTCCTCAAACACTGCAGCCAGGGAGGAAAACAAATCGACCAGAAGAGACCTCCAACCCAACTTTTCAACAATTCGGTTAGTTGTTTTTTCGGTACTTTTTGAAATTGCTAGTATGTTGTTGCATTTTTTCAAATCCACCTTTCTACAGTTTGGATGTCCAAAATTGTATAAAAAAAAAAGAAACTTGAAAGTCATAAAATGATGTGATTAGAAAATTTTCGGAATCCTTTTCCTCGAATTTCACCTTTGTTTCTATGACTTTGTCGAGAATTTGGAAACAATAAAGCGTACTTTGAAATTGAAATCAGTTTATGAACATGTTTCAGGATCGTCAAGTGCGAAAAAATTGGAAATCTCTCCCGTTTCCCAATTGATATGCTGGAGCCGTCGCCAGCTGTTCAAAATAATGGAGGAATCTTCAAATTCGAAATTGAAATGCTTGCTGGAATACAAAAGGAAATTAATCATTAACTTATTATTCATTCTCGTTTTTTGCCCATTCTTTCCCGTTAATTAATAAATTCTCCCTCATTTTTTTTCCATTTTTCAAATTAATCCAGAAAACTGAAAAATATCAAAAAACGCTAAGGTTGATTGAAATCCGGGAAAATCGGAATATTCTGAAGAATTTCTGTATTCGGTAATACACAGTGATCGTAAAACTACAGTATTCTTGAAAACTATTAGGTTGGCGGGAAAGTCTTTGTCACTTTTTCAATAGTTTATTTCTCAAAGAAAAAATAACCGAATAATTAATTATATTGTCCATCATTATCAACAACATGTCTCCAACGTTCCCTCAATTTATGGATTCCATTGCGGTAGAATCCAGCCGGGCGTGAGGCAAAGTATTGTTTGAGTGCCGCTTCGACCGCTCCACGGGAATTGAAGCTTCTTCCTTCGAAGGCACGTGTCATATCGCCAAATAACCAATAGTCGGAAGGAGCAAGATCAGGAGAATACGGGGGGTGAGGGAGAACATTCCATCCATATCCCATCAGCTCCTGCTTCACTTGTTTCGAAACATGTGGGCGAGCGTTATCATGTTGATAGTACACTTTCTTGTCTTTCAGGGCCGAACGGTCGACTGCTTTCTTGAGGTTTCGTAGTTGAGTAGTGTAGAGGTCTCCAGTTATTGTTTTGCCCTCGGGCAGAAGTTCCCAGTAGATGGGGCCGTCCACTCCCCACCACACAGAGAGCATAACTTTTTTCGGATGAAGGTCGGGTTTGGGGACATCCTGTGGGCTCTCTCCTTCTCCAACCCACTGGGATTTCCTGTGGTGATTATCGTAGAAGACCCACTTCTCATCTCCGGTTATTAGCCGGTCCAGCCATCGATCGCCCGCGTGGAGAGTGAGAAGAGTAATCGAATCGTCGACTCGGCGGTCAAGGTTGGCTTGAGTCAGGTGATGACGTATGAATCGACCAAAAAGTTTTCTCATTCCAAGAGACTTCAAACCTTCAAGGACTGTGCTATGGTGAACTCCGAATGTGACAGCTAGTTCACGGCTAGATTGAAATGGATCCGATTGCAATGCGTGCTTCAGCTTGTCCAAATCCAACTCACGGGGTCTCCCAGAGCGATCCTTTTCATCGAGCGAGAAGTCATCTTTTTCGAAACGATGGAACCAATTGCGAATAGTATTGTAGTGAGGGGCATGTGTGTTGTACACATTCTTCAAGAAAGATTCCGAATCCTTCATCGTGGTGTGAGATAGGAAGAGGTAAATCAAAACATGTCTGATGTGAATAGCAGTGGGAACAAACATATCGTTTCAATTACAGATGAGGAGCAGGGAAGGAAATGGGGACTTGTTTATATGGAAGGTTCTTATCACCTTGTTATTCACTAGAGTCGATATCATACACAGCCTCCATATACGAGAACAGTGATTAAACAAACAGAGTGACAAAGACTTTCCCGCCAACCTAATACAGTAACCTCAAGAACTAACTTTTTGAATTCAGCTATTGAAAAATTTTCGAATTTCTATTACTGAAAATTTCTAAAATATAGATTTTATTATTTTTCAAATTTCTATTCTTCAATTTCTCTTCGAAGTTAAGAGCAGTTTTATGAAAATCGTTTTGAAATTTTTCTAATTTTTCTTTCTTCAACACCTCGTAAACAGAGATTTTGATGAAAACTTCAGAATAGGTAAGTGATACCGTAGACTCCTCTTAAAAGCTCACTGATACATGAACTCTCTTTTGTTTGACACCGGTTATCAGCCCGCTTGTATAGGTCCACGTTCCCTTCCAATTCCCATTTAATTTAGAACCAATTGATTTGTTGAGACCTTTAAACTGGAAAAATCCAATTGATTTGTACCATGCAATTGATTATGTAGCCCATATTGATTTGTTGCAGAAAAAGGTCCCTTGCCCACTTTTGTTCTGGGACACAGCCGTATATTGTTCCCCCAAATTCTTCGATACTCCGTTTTGACCCCAAATTGGTGCACCATTTGCTACTGTAGATGACGTAATAACTCTGCGACTCCTCCTTGTCTACACTCTCTGTAATCAATGTCTCCTTTTTTGTTGACATAAGAGTTCTCATACCATAAAGTGTCATAATGACCCTCACTTCACACCTGTCCATTTGAGAGAGTATGGAGATTGAGGAGACGCAAAAGTCGATAAAGAGTAAAAGACGCCCCCTCGTCTCTTCACATGGACGTCCCGCCCCTTCACCCCACCGAATACATCATTCTTCTCTTTTGACGACTTTCTGAATAGACGTCTAAATATTCTCCGGGAATTCTCCAAAAATCCTAAAAGTGAATGGATTTTGGAGAATTCCCTTCTATTGATTTTTTTAAATATCCTGATTTTTATTTCTATTCTATTTTCCGTCGATTCCATGGTCTTTTTTTCAATGAGAAACTCTACAAAACACAATTTATCGGTAAGTAGATTATTTGGTCTCCAAAAATTATTAGTTTTATCAGCTAGCTGGTGCGCCTTTGGCGCGATTCTATCTAGTTTTTTACTGGTTCATCGCTGAATGCATTCTTCTCATGACTTTCAAAACTTCAAAAATAAGAAAGTTCAAAAATAAGAAAATTCGAAAATTCAAAAGTGAGAAAATTCGAAAATTCGAAAACTGAAAAACTGAAAAACTCTAAGAAATTCAAAATTCCGCCATCATCAGTTTATAAAGATATTTCAGGCTCTTCAAGTGCGAATGAAGTCTCGCCCAGACATTCGGATGCCAACCGGTTAGTTTGTGCTAAGAGAAATAATTGATAAATAAATGAAAATTTCAGATGAAGAACTTATGAATGGCACGGTTCAGCTCGCCAGAGAACGGATCATTCACAGACTCTTGCTGCAAAAGATTCTAGGACTCTTCTCCAAATGTATGTAAACAAAAAAAAACATTATTCTCAAAACTTAAATTTTATTACAGAAATGATGACGTGCGCATGTTTGTGGATAGCGGAATCGAAGATCCATTCAAGAAGATGACAGGCGAAATGTATCATGAACACATCGAGGAAAACGCTGTGGATGAAATTGAGAGAGACCTGGTCGCCGCTCATCGCAAATTGGATCGATTCTCAGAAGCGGTGAGTTGAACCATTTTCCACTTTTGCTGAAAGTTTGTGTTTCTCAGTTCGACTGCAACTGCACCAATGGCTGCACCGCGACTTCCCCGTGGAAGTTATGGACAAAGCCTTCTACACGGAAGCGATTGTGAGTTTAAAAAGAAATCATATATTTGAAAGAAGAAATAACAATCATATTCATTCAGCATGACCCGGAGTCCATCCGTCACTACGGTTGCAGCCAATTGTAAGTTTCACCAAACTGATTGTACAATATCATCGAAAAATAATTTTTCAGTTGCAAGTGCAAAGGACAGTGCAAGAAAGCGTTCCCAAAGCCACCTGTCCTGACTCCGAAAGGCTTTGCGCTTGTCGCGAAAAAACATAAATTTTTGATTTTTGAATAAATTTTTGTGAAAAAATAAACATCCAATTTCTATTTTTTCTTTGAGTCTAGACTTTTTTGAGATAAATGTTTTCAGACGTCATCGGGGCCCATACTCCGAGGGTACATCGAAATAGGGTACATCATGCTCAGGGGGTACATTGACTGAAGGGGTACATAGTCTGAAAAGGTATATCTAGGTAGCAGAGTTGTCAGGAAGTGAAATTTTGGAACTCGGAAGTCGGAAGTCGAAAGTAAAATTTTATTTCCGAAAGTCGGAAGTCGGAAGTGAGAAACGCCCGGAAGTAGGAAGCCGGAATTCGGAATTAAACTCTTAAAAATCGAGCTGTTTTGGTAGCCTACGGTTATTTCGGACTTATTTCGGACCGTTTATGTTATTCGCGGTAGTTTTGGCAATTATTTATTTATTTTTCTGGTCGAAAACAGACAAATCTCGCAATTTTTATGCAAAAAGTCGTTGGTGACATTGGAGAATAGGAAGTCGCAAGTAAAGTGCGTTTTTCGGAAGTCGGAAGTCGGAATTCCTGAGATCTCTGCTAGGTAGTAATTAGCCTAGAGAAAGATATATCTAGGCTGAGATTGGTCTAGATATAGCCCCTGATAGTGAGACAATTACCTAGATTTACCCCTTCAAACTATGTGCTTCTCAGTCAATGTACACCCTGAGCATTATGTACCCTCAATGTACCCTCTTGTGATGTACCCCGGGAGTATGGGCCCGTCATCGGTTTGTTTTTTTTTAGAGAACAATAATATACTTATTTGCAATGCATGGGGGGAAATCGATAGATAATTTGGCAAGAAATGGGACCTGTACAAATAAAAAAGTAAAATTACCAGACGGACCGACTAGAGTCCTGTAGGTCAAGTGGGAGGGATCAGAATATCATAAGGAATCGCTCCTACTCGCTTAGCAAACGCCACCGGACTGAGCTTAGAATTTATCACCTTACATACACGGTTCCACATAGACAAGTTTCTGTGAAGGTAGCAGTCAAAGTATTGACCGTTGATTTTGAACAAATACGGGGCTCTTTTAGAATGGCTGGGAAGAATGTAGGACGACATAGAGGGAAAAGGTATGAGTTTATAACAATTTTGTGATAGGTACGAAGAACTAGAAGGGTGCGGCGATGAAGGGTGGTTAGCATAGAGAACTGGGATAGGCGATCGGTGTATGAATTGAAGGGCATATTACATCTCTGAAGGACTTTTCTGGTAAAAAAACGAAGAGGAGATTCTAGTTTATTGGCAAGTGTGGTATTGGATGGATCGAAAAGTTCACAACCGTATTCGAGGACCGGTCTAATGTAGGTGTCGAAGAGACGGAAATATAAACAAGGGTTTTTCGATTGGAACGTTTTCAGTATTTGGCGGGACTTGAGTTTAGCAGAGTAGGCAATAAGATTGATGTGTTTGTCGAATTGAAGTTGATCATCAACTAGTATACCTAGGTCCTGTTGTTCCTAGAAAATCAAGTGTTTAACGTTTTTTTTTGACACGAGCATTTCGTTTTTTTTTCTGTGCTTTGGCTACTATTTTTGGCTCAATTTGACCGAGTAAATACCTCAATTTACCGGAAAATTTACATTTTTAGACACTGACATTTTCTAAATTTTTTAGAATTTTGGGTCTCTGAATTTCGGAAATTTAGAAGCTTGAAATCTTATTGTTACAGAATTCTGAAATCCTAGAGTTCTGGACATCTGGATTTTTCATAAATTTGAATAATGGAATTCTAAGATTCTTAAATTCTGGAATTCTGAAATTCTGGAATTTTGAAATTCCAAGATTCTAACACTCTAAAACTTTGAAATCCTGAAATTTATTGTAGTTTCAAGAATGATTTAGTTCTTGAAAATAATTACAGTAACCTCAAAAACTGCGGTAATTCAAAAAAAAAACGAACATGTTATTAAAAACTACCGTAACCTGAAGAAGCTACAGTGACCTCCGAAACTATTACTTGAAAACTACAGTAACCTCAAAAACAAAAGTATACTCAGAATCTACAGTAATCTCAAGAACTGCATTAATCTCAACTAATAAAATTATCCCAAAAAAACACAGTAATCTCGAAAACGTCCGTATTCATGAGAACTACAGTAATCTACAGTAACCGCACACATCCTCATAGATTTTTTCTTCCATTTCCCAGAACATAAAAATCATAAAAATGCCGTGTTTTTTCCAAATTTTGATTCCCTCCGCCCCCTCAGTCAAAAATGGTGTTAATCGAATAAAGGGAAAACTATAAAACCGAAAGAGACTCTCCGAAAAATCATTATTTCCCTTCTTTTCTAGAACATTCCAGTTTTTCTAGAATATTCTGAAAAAATGAAGATTCTTCTGGTCTTGCTATTCCTATTCTCTGTGGTCTTGGCTCTTAACAGCCGGGATTGTGCCAACAATCCAAAAAATCCGGAATGCGGATTTGAATTTGTTAATTTGAACAGGTGGGTTTTGAAGATTACTGTAGCTCAGTTATGGGAGGATTTTTCGCTTCCGTTTTCCGTTTTCCGCCCAGTTTTTAGAGATTTTTTTTTCCGTTTCCGCGGGAAAAAAATTTACGATTCCGTTTCCGTAAAATTGAAATCTCATTTCCGTTTCCGTTTTCGTTTTCCGGAAAAACCGCCATTTTTTTTAGCGGAAACGGAAAAAAAAAATTTAAAAACCAACGAAATCATTCAACTGAAACTGGCTTGAAAGAAATCATGGAAAGTGATGCAAATATGGTCTTTAAACGTTAAAAAGTGTATTTTTTTATGTTAAAAGGGAAAAATCCTGATAAATAGACGAAAAAAAGAAATTTCCGTTTCCGTTCTAGTTTTCCGTTTTCCGCCCGATTTTAAAAGATTTTTTTTCCGTTTCGTTTTCCGCGGAAAAAATTTTCTTTTCCGTTTCCGTTTTCCGTATTTCGGAAAAATGCGTTTCCTCCCATCACTGCTGTAGCTTACTCAGATTACTGTAGTTTTGAAATAACTGTTGTTTTTGTGAATACTGCGGTTTTTGAGAATATATCAGTTTTCAAGAATACAATAGTTCTGGGAATTAATTTATTTTGTGGTATTACAGTAGTTTTCAAGAATATATCATCCGTATGCGGTACTGTAAATCACTGTAGTTTTAAAAATTACTCTCGTTATTAAGATTACTGTAGTTCTTGAGAATACTGTAGTTTTTGAGATTAGTGTATTTTCTTGGGATTACTATCTTTTTGAGGTTACTGTAGTTTCCAAGAATACAATAGTTCTTGGTATTACTATAGTTTTAGAGACTACTGTAGCTTCAAGAAGACAGCTGTTGCTTGAGGTTACTATAGTTTCTGAGGTATTTTCGAAACGATTTTTAAAAATGGGTCGTAATTTTTCTAAATTTCCAGATCTCCCAAATCAATGGATCCTCCTGCGATTCCAGACGTTATCTCTGAAAGAATCAAGAAGTTCTGTGAAACTGATCCATCTTATGATTTCTGTAAAGATCTGGGACTCGGAAAAGACAAAAAGATGTTTCAAGGGAAATCAGGAAACATGACTTCTGTCAATTTTTCGCCACAAAAATATGCCATTAAAGGAGAAGAAGAGGAAAAGGAGGACATGTTGGAAAAAATCGAAAATGCCGGAAAAGCCGGAAAGAAAATCGACTGTGAGACAAGCCCAGAACATCCGGGATGTCAGAGGTGAGGAGAATTTTTTGAAATTCAAAAATTCGAATATTCAGAAGCTCAAAATTTTTGAAATTTTTTAATTCAGAAATTCAGAAATTCAAAAATTCAAAAAATCCCAAATCTTCTAGAAACATCTATCTCGACGCATTCATCGCCTGGAAAATCGGCAAGGATTGTGAAGTCGATCCGAGCGGTCAATTCTGTCCAAAGACGTTGGGCAGGGGCTGTTCCACGTCATCTGAATCCGAAGAATCGTCGTCTTCAGAATCCTCGTCATCAGAATCCCAAGAAATCGACGAATACGATGAATTAGATTCTCCAGAAGTCATCATAGAAGGATCAGAAGGAGACGTGACGCCTTCTGAATCCTCCGAAACGGAAGTTCCCGCATTCCTACGACTTTTATGGGCATTTTTGAACGAAATGGGTCATCACGGAGCTTCAGTATCTTCAGAATCCTCTTCAGAAGAAAACGTTGAACCCCATATTCCAAGAATCTTGAGTACTGAACTCGTTGAAAAATTCATGGAGCTTATTTTGCAAAATCTGGACCGCTTCAAGAATATGACGCCTTCTGAACGACTCGCTGAACTTTTGAGATTGGCTTTGGAAGGGTCTAGAAAGCCAGCATCCACTACGATGTCTACAGAAGACGTGACGCTTGAAGAATCTCCAGAATCCGGTTCAGAGGATGATTCAGAAGATACGACCTCTTCTGAATCTGATTATGAACCCTCAGAAAACGACGAAGAATCCACGTCATCTTCCGAAGATGCAGAACTCGACGACGGTGCCCAAAAGCTTCTTGCTCTTCTCGAACGAATCTTCCAATCCATCGGAACTGCTCCAGAATCCAACACGTCATCTCCCGAAGGCACTGAATACGACGACGGCGCTCAAAATTTTCTTGATCTTCTTCAAAGAATCTTCGAATCCATCAGAAATGCTCCAGAATCCACCACGTCATCTCCCGAATCCTCCTCAACGACGTCGTCTCCTTTTGACTATGAAAGAGCCTTCAAATACGTTGCTCCCCTATACAAAGAAGCCCTCGAAGGCTGGTCCCTGGCCCGTCAGAACCTTAAAAAGTGTCAAGAAGCTTTGGAGTCTTCTGAATCCCAGGATATCTACGTCGGGTCTCAAGATGAGCAGAATATAGATGAGCAACTTCTGGACGAGCTCGAAGGAAAGAAACCGATCGCCACGTTCTCTGGAATCGTCTCCGAAGGCCGCCGGCGCCGTCAGATGTTGTCGTTTTTGAACTATAAATTCTATTGAAACTTGGTTTTGAAAAATGAATATTAAAGCATTCCAAGTAGGAACTTTCAATTTTTGCAAGAAAAATTGCAAAATATTGAGATTTTCTCTGAATTTCGGGTTGAAAAAGTCCCGAAAAATCCAATTTTTTGGGGAGTAAAAAAACAAGAAATTAACGTTTTAGCTCAAAATGACTAAGAAAAGTTGCAGTTTTCAGACAGAAACAGCAAAATTTTCCGAAAAAAAAGGACAGAAAATACATGAAAAGAGAGATCCAGGGGGAGTAGGTTATACAGGATAAAACTGATTGTTAAATGTAATTTTTTGGAAAAAAACATTTTTGAAAAAAATATAGAGATTCGAGTAGTGGATGGGCTGCTGGGATTATTGGAGATTCGACGAGTTGCCGGTTCTGAAACATGTGATTTTTTAGATTTTTCAGGTTTTTTCATATTTCAAATCTTACAGCGTCTTCAGAATTCTGCTGTTCAAATCGCTTCGTTTTGCCAACAGCTCCCGATCCATCTCCTCCCACTCGGCGGCATTTTCTTGCTCTTTTTCTGTAAAAATTGAATTTTCAAATTTCAATTCATCAAAAATCTTCGGTCCCACTATATTTGAGCTCTCCAAGATTCTTCATCTCTTGCTCCGACTTCTTCTCGTACTCTTCATATCTTCTCAACTTCTCCTCGAGCTGCTCGACTCGGAATTCTTTGGCCTGACGATCTTTCCGAATCTTTTCTAGTTCCTCGCGCTTTTCTGAAAAAAATTTTGATTTTCAGAAAATTTCTATAAAAACAAACCTTCTCGAATTTTACGCTGATCCATGCGGAATTGAAGAACTTGTTGTGCGCAATTTTCCAGTTTTCGCACGCCCTCATCGACTAAATCGTTTTTCTGATTGACTTCTACCATCAATTTCATGACTCTATCCATCAAGTCTTCGAGTGACTCCATTTTGTCTGTAAAATAGTGAAAATTTGAAAAAAATCGCTCTGAAAATCATTGAAAACGGTTGGAAACTCATTGAAAAACAACTAAAAACTCATTTTCCAGAACCCGTATTTCAAACTCCCGCCATCGGGTCTCGCCGCGATTGTCGCGAACAACTGCGTGCGCCTTTAAAGTGTGCCTCTCGCATAGAGTCGATTTACGGCGCGCCGCGTTCAAAAAATAGTGGTATACTGATTATTCTCATGGAAAATACGATATTTTATCGAAAAACGGGATTTTCCACGATATTTCCACCAGTTTTCATCAGTTTTTCATCGAAAACTCGGAATTTTCACCTAGAAACGAGTTGGAGGCCATTATCGATTTTTTACCACTTCCAAAAGTTGAGATTTCCTACTGTAGAAGATGAATTCTGGATGTCATATTTATGATCAAAATGCTAAAATCTCTAGTTTCCGACACAAAAAGTCGAGAGAATCGTTGAATTTCGAAAAATATCGAAATGATGACGTAAATTAGTGTAAAAGCTGAATTTTCAGCCGTTTTCTTCGAATTTTTCCTTTTTTTTTAATTTTAGATTTTCAGATTCAAGGATTCCCATAATTTTCAGCAGAATTCAGGAATCATTGGAATTTTTTTAATTTTCGAAAAATTTCGTAAAAATTGAAAGGAACTGGTTTTTGATCCAATGGTTAGGAATTTTATAGTGAGTGAATTGAAAAAAAAATTGTGAACAGATAAGTCACAATTTTGATAAGGATAATAAAAAAAAAGAAGATAAAAAGAAAACGTTTTAAAAAATTGAATTTTTCCCCTCTCCAACCCCTTTCTCTTGATTTCTTCGCACTTCCAGACAGCTTTTTCCCTTTATTGCCTAGATATTCTCTTCCAAATCGCCGAATTCCAGATGGCACCTCCCCGTGGTGGCCGTAACAAACGTAAACTCAACACCGCATCTGAATCCGGCACGTCTGTCGCAGATTCAGAAGAAGCCGTCGACTCATCGACGCCTTCAGCATCACGTCCACGTCGTTCGCGTCTTCCGAGGCGATATTTCGACGACGACTACAGTCCGCCGCCGTCGAAGAAGCGAGCGACGAACCGAGAGACGCCGGTTTCAGATGCACAAGAAGAGGAGGATCTGAAATTGGAGCTGACGAAGACGCCAGTCGTGCCGAGGGAGAGGTCTAGTAGAGGAGGCAGAAGAAAAATCACAAATCCGAATATGGGGTGAGTTTTTTGAATTTTTGACTGCAAAAACGAAAAACTCGAAGGGAACATTTTGAAAAATCTTTCAATTTCACCGAAATTGAGCAACGAAATTGAGCGAAATTGAGCAAAAAAGAATGTCATAACAAATTTCTGCGGAATTTTGGAGTTTCTTTTTAAGGGGCCTTTTTAAGGGCCCTTCTAATACAGGTTTCAAACCTCTTATTTTTCCAGCCGCCCCAAAAAGAACCCCACCCCTCCACGTAGCAAATCCCGGAAGACCCGTCAAGAAGAGGACGTCATCTATATGGACGAGGACTCAGAAGACGAGGAAGAAGAAGAATCAGAAGAGGAATTCATTCTAGGTGGAGAAGAAGACGAGCTAGAAGAGCTGGACCTGGATCCCGTTTCTCAAGTTCTAACTGATTCAGAAGACACGATATTCTGCCCGTGGATCGATATGGATCCAGAGACGATTCCAAAGCTGGACCTTCCAGAGTCTTCTCAAGATATTCCACTTCCTAAACATGCTACAATGGACGCCATTGAAGTCTATGAGATTCTGAGATCCTATCATCGAACACTGAGAATCACTCCATTCACATTTGAAGACTTTTGTGCGGCTTTGATCTCTAAGAACAATTCTTGCATTATGGCTGAAATTCATATGGCTCTTCTGAAAAGTTGTCTGAAATCGGATGATGAGGAGCAAACGCATTATTCGGTGACGGAGACCAATAATTCTGCGAATATTATGATACATCATATGGATACGATGACGTATGCTGAGATTCTAAGGCAGTTTATTGAAGCATATCCATTTTCGGATTCGTCGGTGAGGGATGCGGTTAATACAGAGAATTATCCGTATGTGGGATATGAATCCAAGTGAGTAGTTTGAACAGAATTTTGCTTGCTTTTCGACCAATTTTCCGTTGAAAATGGTCGAAAATTTGTCAATTTCGGCAAATCTTAAATCATTAAAAACAATTTTTCCCGGAAATTTTTCAAAATCGAAACTGAAAACTCTGAAGAATTAGCGATTTTTCGCAGAATTTCTTCGCCTTTTTAGGTTTTTCGGCTATTTTCAAAGATTCTTTTTCGATTTTTCCAGTTTTTCTTGTCCCAAATTTGACGGGATGGTGTTCGCGAAGATTACTGTAGATTACTGTAGAAACCTTCCTTCTTCAGTCTTTGTTGCAAACACAATCACGGGAAAATGCAGATAAAACTGCTTGCAAAGAATCACAAAGAAAATCAGATTTCTACACTAATCCACAGTAATCTTCCGTCAGGAGTTTTCAGTTTTGGCCGGAATTTAAAAAAAGATCGAGAACCTTCCGGATGTTTCCAGAAATGGACAAAAATTAAAAAAGTGCCTGAATTTTGTTTTAAATGGTCTTGAAACTATCCAGAACTTTGCTTCCAAAAAATGCTTCAAAATTGGTTTCAAATGATCTCAAATTGACCGAAATCGACGACATTTTGACCATTTTCGCCTGGAAATCTGCCAAAAAATGAACCAAATTCAGCAGAAATGACCGATTTTTAGCCATTTTTCGATAAAAATAAGCATGTTTCAAAAAATCCCGAAAACCGGAAATTTCTCTCTGGAAAATTCCAAAACTCCTGAAAATTCTAGAACTTCATATAAGTCTTAAATATCTTTAAAACCTGTATTAGAAGGTACGTCCCTTCTATTGTTCCAAGGTACCTTCGGAGGGCCCTTCAATTAGAGGGGACCTTCTGATACAGGTTTTACGGTATTATCTGAAACTCGGAAATTCAAAAAATCCCAAAACAATCCCAAAAACCGTGAATATTCAACAAGTTCTCTCCAGACTCGTCGTGCTCCTCTTCATGAGCTATCGCTTTCTCTACTCGTTGGAATTCAAAAAAGTGGTGAACAACGTCGGAAAATTTCAGGTAAGAGACCAAAAATCTGAAATGTTTCTCCATTTTTACACAGATTTCTGAAATTTTATCCCCAAAAATTGAGGTGGATCTCCATTTTTTAAAGCAGACTTTCGATAATTTAGCTTTTCTAAAAAATTCAAAAACGCATTTCAGAACGACGAAAACTGTCGAGTATGCGGAAAATCGTCGGGACGAGTGATCGGTTGTACACAGTGCGAGGCGGCGTTCCACGTGGAATGCAGTCATCTGAAGCCGTTTCCAGACATCCTAGTATGTAATATATGCAAGAGAAATGATGTGAGAGGAGTGCGGCCAGTGGACGAGTCGATGGAAAAGGAGCCATTGAGATCTCAACCAATTGGAAGGGATCGATATGGACGATTCTATTGGTTCATTGCAAGGAGGATTATTGTGTGAGTTTTTAGAGGGAAATGGGGCTTGGTTCAGCTTCAAAACCAACGAAAATTGGTCAAAAACCGCTAGAAATGCCTTCAAAATGATCAAAAAGTAGTCCCAAATCAGTCATAAACTATCGAAAAGGATAGACTGGAAATATAGAAAGTCTGTCGGAATTTTAATTTGGAAATATCTCAAATGTCAAAAAAACTAAATAAAATCGATCACAAATGTGGCTTAAAATGTTCCAAAATAGCCAGAACAGTACTAGAATGTGCTGAAAATATAACTCAAAAACACTAAAATTTGTCTAAAACTAAACCGAAAAATTTCAAGAAAAAATACTGATGATGGGATAAAAAATCATCTAAAAACCTGGAAATGCTCGTGAATTGAAAAAGTCAAAAATGACTTAGAAAATAGACGAAAATGAACAGAAACTGACCTAATTGACTTGAAAAAGGTTCAAAATGCTTTAAGTTCTCATTGCAATAACCCAAGACTTCAGACCGGATGTACTTGAAATTTGAGCAGAATTATCTCGATTTCTGTAGGAGATATCAAAAAGTGATGAACTGATGAAATGTAGGTGACATTATGACGAGCTTCTTATCACTTGACAGCTTCTTGATATATCTGATAAGAACCGAGATAATTGAGCTCGAACTGAAAGCCAAAAAAAATCTCGTAAAAGGCTTGGAAATTCACCAAAATTATCAGAAAAATGAAAGATTTTCGAGCAAAATAGCAGGCCCTGATACTGAAAATTTGGCCGACGAAATATCAGTGGGTGTAAAAACCAGATAAGGGTCCCCCTTATGTGCTTTTTGCATTTTTTCCAAAAATATCAGGGGGTGAAAATTTTCATAAGGGTCTCCCCTTTAGTGTTTTGTCTCAATTTTTCAAAAATATCAGTAGGTGTATATCACATAAGCACCTTACCTCTTTTTCAAGTTTTCAAAAAATATCTGGAGGTGCTTACCACTCGTATTTGGGACTGGCAAAATAGGCAGAAAATGGCTACAAAAAAGCCAAAAAAATGACTGAAATCCAATAAAAATTGGCAATTTTCAGTCAATCCCTGGACGAAACCGAAATACACTACTACTCGACGCCTCCTCAACTGTACCAACTTCTCAAAAAACTGGATCGTGACTACTATGAACGAGATTTGTGTGATGCATTTCAAGACAGAATCGAAGAGCTTCTAGAACAAATGACACTGACTGTCGAGATGACATCCGAGAGACGAGACACGGCGATTGATAATATGATGAAGAAGAATGCGTTTTCGTTTGACTATGCCGATGCAACGATACCAACTATCTATTTGCATAAGGATAGCAGTGAGTTTTTCGAGATTTTTAGAGCTGAAATTCATCTGGAATGTTTTGAATTTTGTCTTAAACGATTTTCAGCAAAAACATCCCAGAATTGTGCCAAAAAACAGCCAAATTTACCTCTAGAAATGGTGTTTTTAGCCTGAAAATCTGAAATTTTTATAAAAAATCTTAAATTGCAGAATAAAATTGCCGTAAATATTGCCTGACAATCCAAGATATTTGTCTGAAAATTCCAGAAATATTCTTGTTTTTGAATCTGAAACTATCGAAAATTTTCTCTAAAAATGACTACTTTTTGACTCAAAATCCAGATTTTTGGTTCGAATTTCTGGAAATTTTTGAGTCCAAAAATATCTGAAATTCTTGAAAAAAGAATCCCGGAATTTCCAAAAAATCTGAAGTTTTCCGATTTTTCAAAGAATCCAAGATTGGAAATCCTAATTTTCCCTCATTTTCCAGTGAAACGAATGGCAGCCATTCTGCGTGATTGCTCAGCAAAAGTGGAACCCAAAGAAGAGCCCCAATCGGACGACGCTCCTGAATCTCAAGACGACGTCACGAACAACGATATCCTTCCAGAAACAATGCTCGGAATTCACAATGGATGTCTAATCAACACATTCTGGAGTGGCGGAGCATCACAGGAAGAGCTCGTTGAGCAATTCTATTCCCAAGGTGCCTCAGTGGCAGATATAGATACAATGAGTCTATGGAGAATGGGAGACGAAGGGAACGATCAGACATTCATGACCTATTATAATTACTATAGTCGGAATGAGATGGCCGAGAGTTTTCTAGTCCGCAAGAAGCAAACTGACAAAAAGAAATACATGTCGTTGAAGTTTGCACAAATTGACAATTTCGAGTGGACCGTTGCGAAGGATAGACAGTTTTATGGAAATTCGGTGCTTCATACTAAATTTGTGTGTTGGACGTTATCCAAAATAGCAAGGAGGATCCCGGCGGATTTGATGCATCGAAAATGGCCGGAAATCGCCAAAGCGTTCGATATGGAAGTGGGTATTGCTGACAATTATCAGCAATTAGCAAGAAGTCTTCTGAAGTTGGACGCGGCGGCTCGTAAGACGATTTTTATGCCGCAGTGGTGGAATGGGTTGGGACAGACGAAGCTGGAGAGGATTACGGTGGATCAGAGGGAGCAGTTTTTGAAGGAACAGCAGAAAGTGAAGAAGATGGAAGTGGTATGAAAGAATTGCAAAAATCGAAAATCTCGGACTTCCAAAATGTTCAATTTTTGAGATTTTTTCTGAAATTCGAAAATTCCATCTACATATTACGAAAATCTGGTTTTTAGTACCGTAAAACCTGTATTAGAAGGGCCTCTTTTATAGAAGGGCCCCCTCTAATTGAAGGGCCCTCCGGAGGTATCTTAGAACAATAGAAGGGCCGGCCCTTCTAATACAGGTTTTACGGTAGTTTTGGTATTTGCAAAATTCAGAATTTTAATGTATTTTACTGAAAAATATATTTTCCAGGACGCCCTTGCCAAAGAGCTTGACGACAGTTTCATTCGTGTCAACTACTCGAAACCGAAATGGCCGAACACCTATATTCTACGACAGAAAGGAGAAACGTATCGAAATGCCGGAAAAGGGGTTATGGGTGGATGGGAGTGGGTTGCAGCGAAATATGTGGCAAGAAGGGTTCCAGTACCCCAACATCCACAGTGTCCAATGCCAAATGAGGGGTCGGATGAGGAGATTAAGGTAGGCGGAGCCTCCGTCTTGCAGGAGGAGACATCTGGACAAACAGATATTTGGAGAAAATGGGAAACTAACTGAAATGTCATTTTTTGCTCAAAAAAACGGTCAAAACTGATAAAAATGGACATCCGGACGTACGGATACCATCGAAAAGTACTATTTTTAATCACAAAAGCCGTTATGTTCCTGAAAATTCGATTCATTTTTGTCCAAAAACCCTGAAAATTTGCTCGAAATTTGTTGATATTGACCTGAAAAATTAGTTTTTTTTTGGTTGAAAATAAGAGGTTTTGAGTCAAAAACCCGAGATTTCGAGCCAAAATTTGTGAAAATCATGATTTTCAACTTTAAATTCATTAATTTTGACTCAAAAATACTATTTTTTGTAAAGGAAAACTCCGAAAAAACAACTAAAAATCTCTTTTTCAGATCAAATCTCGATCGAATCGAAAATCCCGCCGTCTGGAAGGTCTTATCAAGTTTATCACCCACGAGAGAGATAACAAAATCGCAGCAACAACAAGCTCCACCCCTCTCATTCCCTCCCCATCCAAAAAGTGTTATTCACCATCGTGTAGAGCTCAGCGAAATCCCAATTGCTATTCGCCATCGTGTCGAAATGGTCTTCTGATTGCTCAGACTCTACAAAAGATCCACGTGGAACCGAAACTTCCAGAAGGAGTGCTGGGAGAGGATCGACCGTGGCCGATTCCCGAAATCCAGACGTTCAAATCGAAAAAAGGAGGAAAGAGTATCTTTGTGCTGCAGAAAAAGTGAGTTGGGGTCTCTATAGGGGGCTGGGAGGTTTTGGTCATGGCCTATCTTTCTGCTTCCGGAGTTTTCTAGGCCACCCTACAATACTTTACCATAGTTCCAGGATTCTCCGTCGTCTCATCGTCACTGCCGGATGCCAGCAAGTCTACATGCCCGGATTTTCGGCTGGAACAAAGAGCAATTTGCTGATTTGGCCCTATCCAGCGCCACGGCCAACGCTGGATTTGTGTTGGAAGTGAGTTTTGAGCTCTGAAATACTGAAAATGGCTTCTGAAACTCTAGAAGATTCTGGAATTGCTCATTCTTGGGTTTTTTGGAGTTTTTACCTCAAAAATGCCGATTTTTGGCATGAAAATTAGGTTTCTAGATGGGGTTTTGTCGAATTCTGGAAGCTCAATTTTGAAGTTTTGAGCTTTTAAATTCTCGAAATGGCTTCTGAAACTCTCTAGAAGATTCTGGAATTCTCACATTGCTCATTCTTAAAAAGAGGGCTTCGACCAACATTGTTTATCATTTTAATACATCAAAATGTGTAGATTCATATAGCACAAATTGCAAAAATTAAAAAAATCGGTCCAAAAAGTCCGTTTCTGGGAACTCCTAGAAGATTCTAGAAGCTTTTTTGAAATCCCGCCAAAAATGAAAACTACGAAAAATTAGCGTTTTTTCCGAATTTTCGAGAGAAAAGTTAATTTTTTCTTGGAATTTTTGCAAATCTTTTAAACCTTTTTAGGTTTTTGAGCTATTTTTGAAAATGCTTTTTCGATTTTTTCGGTATTTTTCGTCTGAAATTTGATGGAACGGTGTCCGGCGAAGATTACTGTAGGCTACTGTAGACAGCTAATCTCCTTTTTGTAATTTTGTGCAAACGCAGTCACGTCAAAATGCAGACAAAAAAAACTAAAAGAAAAATTCGTTTTCTACAGTAATCTACAGTAATCTTCCATGCCAAGAACACCATTTAGTCGAATTTCAGGCAGAAATTCGGGATAATCGAAAAAGAATCATTGAAAATAGCTGAAAACCCTAAAAGGGTCTAAAAATTTTGCGAAAAATCGGAGAAAAAATCAATTCTTCTCTCGAAAAATCACTAATTTTTCGTAGTTTTCAGTTTCGGCGGGAATTCAAAAAGAGATACCAGAACCTTCTAGAAGTTTCTAGAAGCGTTTTAAACTTATTTTTCGAGGTTTTTCAAATTTATCTTGACAAAAAAACTCAAAAAAGAATCCTCAAAAAATAGCTGAAACACCTAAAAAATTGTTCGAAATCATCTTCTTCGATGACATAATTTCATTTTTTATTCTAAAATATTTGAGAAATTGGACAAAAAATGTTTATTCGAAGAATCAGACAAAAATTGGTCAAAAGGATGAATAAGGAATGGATAAATCGGTTAACCGTGCGGATTTTATAATGGATGGGGGCAGGAGAAGATGAGGGGGAGGATAATATACCCTGTATAATTTTTAAAAAAAGGTTGTTCTGTAAATGGAACACCCTCCGAAATCCTCCAATTTCCCGGTTCATCATTGAGATTTTACCAGTGATGACGCCATTGTTCGTTGTTCGATTTCTTGTCTCCTTTGGCGCGAATATTTTCGCTCAGACTCTTTTCCAGAAAATAGGAAGAATACAGCCAGAAGGAGAGAATACGCATAAAAATCAGGATTTTTTGGCCAGAAATTCCGGAAAGCTTCCAAAAAAATATTTAGACGTCTGTTCAGTCAAGTCGTCATGGGGAGAAATGAAGGAAACAAAAAACTGGATAGAAGGCGTGCGCGGCCGAGTGACCTGCATTTCACTTCCTTTTTTTCAACACAGATAAAATCAGAATTCCGGGCCCGGTATCAAAAATCCTGTATTTTTAGGCATAATTATTTTGAGCTCCAAATATAATCTTTTCAAAATAATCTTGTTTTTTTGGTTTGCTTTTCTGGTTGATCAAAAAAAATCACAAAAGGGTACCCCGTGTGGAAATATACACACGAAGGGGGCTAGGCTTAACTAAACTGAAATTTCTAGAAATTTCTCAAATCTTTTTTTTTTGAACTCCCACCAAAATTTTGAACTCCCACCTAGTGAAGATTACTGTAGATTCTTGTAGAAGCGCTTTCAGCTATTTTTTGCAAACACTATCACGTCAAAATGCAGGCAAAAAAACTAAAAGAAGAAATTAGTTTTCTAGAGTAATCTACAGTAATCTTCACGAACACCGTCCTATGGAATTTCAGACAAAAATGTTGGAAAAATTGAAAAAGAAGCTTCAAAAATAGCTGAAAAACCAAAAAAAGTCTAAAAATTTTGGGAAAAAAACGAAACAAGTCATTGCTCATTTTTAATCAAAAATTCAGAATCTGAATGCTGAAAAAGACAATTTTTGACCAGAACATAAGGTTTCTAGAGGGATTTTGCAGAATTTTGAACGCTTGAATTCTCCCATTGCTCATTCTATTTTCCAGATGGCAAACGCTAAACGCTCGAAACCTGCACGCCGTCGCACTTCAACTCAAAATCATGTGGTCCTCCATCAAATGGAACGAATTCGAACCGGACGACAATCATCCGGATCGTCGTGTGGTCATCGATACGCCGACGCATGACGAGCGTCGTCGAATCGTGAAGCACAAGGAGATGCCACCGTACGGACAATATGAACGGTATCAGCTGGAAATCGAGATCATTCCGCTTTATGATGAGCAAGAGGATGAGGATGAGTCGTGGACGACGAGGGCCAGGCAAACGGATTCGGCGAGAACGGCAAGCACTAGGAAGAAGAGACCATTGAGGTATGCGTTGATAAGAAATTAGTCGAAATACTGTAAAACCTCGAATAGAAGGGCGCTTAGGCTGTCCAGTTTGATCCCAATTATCTCAATTTCTATGGAAGATATGAAAATTTTGTCAACTGATATAATGTTTGTGATTTTATGATAAGTAATTTTGTTTGTGATTTTATGATAAGTAAAAAATGGACAGCTTTTTTATATCTTTGACAGGAATTGAGATATATGAGCTCAAAGTTAAAAGTTAGGGAGTCACTCTATTACAGGTTTTAGTAAAACCTTTTAAACCGTTTTACGGTGGCTCAAAGTTATTACAAAATGTACCCAATTATGTGGGAATTGACTCACATTTTGTCAAAAATTACCAACATTTTGTCGAAAATGCTCCAAAACTGATCTTCTGTGATCTTTAAAATGGAAATACGAAAATTGAATTTAAAAACACCCAAAATCAGTATTATCAAGCCTAAAATGACCAGAATTGGCTGAAATTATCTTGAAATTGTCTTCAAGTGGCTCAAAATTGCTCTTTGCGATCTATCAAGCACAAATAACTCCCTTTTTCAGAAACCTCGACAACCGTGTGCCAACATCAGTTCGTTACGAATGGGTCGACGGAGTCACCCTAAAAGTGTACGAAATCAAAGACTACTGGAAATATTGCCGTCTGGAAGAAGAACGAGCCGTTCGAAAAGCGGCCGACGCGGCGAGAAAAGCGCAAAAAGCGAAAGAAGACGCCGAACGACAACGAGTCATGGCTTTGAATAGGTCACCAGCTGTTCCCAGAAATTCGTCGATTACGACGGATCGAGTGCATACTCCATATCTGGGACAACCACCTCAACGAAGAAGCAATAATAGTAATGTTGGACTGGATTTGAATGGACCACAGAAGGGATATTTGGAGAGGGTTAGTTTTGTAGAATTGAATGCAAAATAACCTGTAATCTTTATAAATGGTCTTCAATATAGCTGGAAATGGTCCGAAATAGACGATATTGATATTGAATTTCATCAAAAATATGCCAGAATTATCAAAAATAGCTTGAAATAGAGCTAAAAATGGTTCAACATCACTGAAATTTGATTTGAAATAGTCTGAAAATGTCCAGTTGCTTGACTTTAATTAATTCGAATCGATTTGAATTTTGTCTGAAACGATCGTAAATTTGTCAATAAATGGACCGAAAATTATCTGAAAATGACTGGAATAGGTTCAAAAATCTTTATAAATGGTCAAAGATAGTCAAAAATGGCTTACAATAGATATGAAAATGGTTCCAGCAAAAAAGTTCAAAATTACTGAAATTTCTATTTTGAAGACTTTAAAATTATCCCTTTGTTCGACTCAAGTTGGTCAAAATCGATCAATTTAGATAGTTTCACACTGAAATATGGCCGAAAATAGACCGAATTTCGTCTAAAAAGTTGGAATTTCAATTTTAGGATCTCAATTTTTGGAATTTTTCGAGAATCTAAAGTACCTAATTGCTCATTTTCACTTATTCAGACTAATTTAAATTCTAAATATCTTAGGAAATTTGAGATTTTCTAGTTCCTAGAATCCCCTTATTGCTCATCTCTCACTTTTTCAGTACAACACCTCGCAAGTACCGCCACGCAACACTGGCCTCATCAAACCAGTGACACCATCGCCTCATCGTGTTCAACCGAATCCGATTCGAAAGATTCCAGTCTCATCACTTCCACAATTCGCTCAACAGGAACTTCATAAACGGCATCAGCTTCAGAGGACGGCCGCTGGTTCGGATTACGGTACTGGAGGGTCTCCTGTGGTTATGTCAAGTAATGGAGGATCGTATCAAAGTGGTGGTTCGAATAGTGCGCAGAGACAAAGTGGACATAATGTAAATTTCTTTAAAAATGCTCAAAAATCAATATTCGACTTTTTACAAGTCAAATTTCGATCTCAAAATCTCGGCATATGATCTGAAAATCGGAAATTTCGATCCCAAAAATGACTAGATGAGACCCTAAGAATCTCTTTTTCGAACTGAAAAATCTTCATATACGTTTTTTAAAAGGGAAAAATTTCTCTCTGAAAATCCCAAAACAGGATCTGAAAATTTCAAAATTAGGCCTCTAAAACGTCTAATTTTGAGCCAAAATCTCGAAATTCAAATTGGAAAATTCGACTTTTTGGTCTCACAATCAGATTTTCGAGCCGGAACCGTTAAAATTTGGATCTAAAATTTTGAAAATTCAAGCCGAAAAGGACAACATTGATATTTGAAAATAGTCAAATTTCGCAAGGAAATCTGGAGCTCTAACCACTAAAACGTCCAGTTTTGGTCCTGAAATTCGAAATTTGGCTTCAGACTTCTATTATTTTCCAGCCAATGTCCCTGAAATTCGGATCTGTAATTCTAAAAATTCAAGCCGAAAAGGCAAATTTAATTTTGAAAATATCAAATTTCGTACTGAAAATAACAAGTTTCGATCGGAAAATCTGAAGATTCAACATCAAAAACATCGATTTCGAACTGAAAAAATCGGAATTTAATTTTAAAAATTTTCAAGATTGGGCCCAAAAATATATAAAAGACCCCTCCTAATCACCGACCCAGTTTCAGTACCCCGTCCAAACCAATCAGCAGCAGCATCAGCAACAACCCCAACAACACGTTCTATCCCAATATCCACCGATACAAAGATCCATTGCCTCCACATCCAATGGATACCATGGACAACACCAACAGCAGTATCAGAATGGAGGAGGAGGTCAGCCACAGCCGACAAGGAGGGTTATTGTTACGGTAAGCTCTTTTTTGGATTGCTCAGATTTGAGCCGCTCAGACCCTCTGGGCTTTTTGAATTGCTCAGCATAAAAAAATTACCGAATTTTTGAAATTTTCTAGAAGATTTGAAGCTCTTTTTCGTATAAAATAGCCGAAATTTTGGTTTGAATTGCTCAGCTTTAAGATAGGCTCACAAGCTTCCAGCCCCCAAAATCCAAGAGAAGCAATTTTCAGCAATACCGTCAACCACAGACGCAAAACGCAATCGCCGAGGAAGCTTACAGCCCTGACCAACCACCCGTGATCCTTCGCTACGATGCCCAATCCACCTCCCAAGCTCCGCCCCCACAACCCCACGCCCGCCAAGTCTACACAACACAACAAGTGGTTCGAACGGCGCCAGCAGGAGCCAAACCAGGAACAATTGTATATGTAAAAAATGCGGATGGAGGACTGACGCAACGGAGATTAGTGAGAAGAGAAGACCAGGATTCAGGACAGTATCCACCGGGTACTGTACTTCAAGGACAAGGACCTCGCTTGGTACATGTGCGGCCGACGAATGGAGGCGCGCCGGCGACGCGACAGCTCTATATGGCGTCTGGCAATGCTGGGCCGAGATTTAGGCCATCGCCAACGACGACTGGAACGGTTGGGATGGGGATGCCGAGAGCTGAGCAGCGACAACTTGTGAGAAAAGTCGTCCATAGACAGCCGGTACGTGGTCTTGAAAAAAAAATGCCATAAATTTTGAAAAATGCAAATTTCAAATTTCCCGCCCAGTTTCAGGAACAAATGGATCAAGTCTACAATGATCATCCTTCGCCCCAACAACAGCCCCATCCACAGCCACCAACGAATCCTCGTTTTGTCATTCAACACGCTCCTCCGAAAATCTCAAATCCACGTGGCGGAATGACAATGCAAATGGGACAGCAGCAGCATCAGCTACAGCATAATAATGTGAGGAAATATCTCGAAAATTCAAAATTCTGAAATTTTGAAAATTGAGCCATTGCTCATCTTCATAAACTTGATTATTTTCAGATGCCCCAACCCCAGGAATTCCAGCAAGATCCAATGATGATTGGTCAGGAAGAGGTTCCAGAAGCTTCTATGGATTATCAGGATCCAAATCAACACTAGGAAATTTGCAAAGACTATCGGCTGGACCCGATTTTTAACTTTCCCTGTTTGATTTTTCAATTTTTTTTTATTTTGAAATTTTAATTTTTTCCCTTCTTTGTAATTTTCTTTTCTAATAAAAAACAGTTGCCTTGTCTTCTCCTTCCTTCCTCACTTAAAAAAATTTCCACTAGTTCAAAATTCCGGGTTTTCCCTTCTCCTTAAATGACCTCCTTTTATCCTGCTTATCCTAATTTTCGCTGCGTTTTTAATTATTATTATTATGATGATTTTTATTAAAAATTGATCAAAAAGTATGGTTTCCTTGTCCCTTTTTTCTTTTTTACCTTGTATTTCCGAAATGAATGTGTCGTTTTTCCTCGAAAAAAAAAGAAAAAAGTCTAAAAACGCGAGTGCGCTCTGTTGAGACGCGTGCGTGCTGCGTCGCGGCTCTCGGATTTTCAACTTTTTTTCCGCCAACCGGCGCCACGTGATTTCTTGAAATTCGGTGTTTTCACCTGGAATTTGCAAATTGCGATGGAAGAATTATGGAAAAAATTAAAAAGCACATTGCAATTAACGTATTTAGCACAAAAATCAAAGAAATCCATGGATTTTTGGGCATTTTAGGCTGGAAAATGAAGTTCTGGATTTTTTCAGGTTCAAAGAATCTACACTAACAAATTCTTTGTTTTTTCCATAGTATTCGTGCAATTTCCCAAAAAAACACAATTTCCGCATAAAATTTGATAAATAATTCCAGAAAATTGGGTTACACAAAAATGAGGCGAGCCGAAGAAGCCGCGAACGTCGTCGACGAGGACGATCAGCCGCCGATAATTCCGCGTTACGATCCTCCAGCAGCGATTCAGCAGCAACAAATTCCGATTCGACAAGTCTACACCGGTCAACAAGTGATTCGCGCCGTGCCATCAGCTGCTGGCAAGGGAAATGTGATTTTTCTGAAAAGCAGCGACGGTGGAACGCAAAAAATGCTTGTCAGACAAGCCGGCAAGCCAGAATTCTCGAAAAAAGAGGGCTTTGCGCCTGGAACAGTTCTGACAGGTGGCACACGAGTTGTCGCCGTTCGGCAACAGGGTGGACAGCCGATTCGGCAGATTTATACTGGAAATAGTTTACAAAATAGCAATAGTACACGATTCGTCAGAGTTCAACAGCCACAACAGCAAGTATTGAGAAGGGTGGTGCCGCAGAGAGCTGTGGTGAGGATTTTACTGAAAAATTGCTGGAAGTGGCTGGAAAAAGAGACGAAAAATCACAGTTTTTGTCGCTCAATTCTGTGAGAAATCGAGAGAATTTCGGCGAAAAAATTGGTTTTTTCTACCAAAATTTGAAAGAAAAACCAATTTTCTCCGATTTTTGGCCGTTTTAGGCTGTTTTTTGCCGAAAAAAAAATCATATTTTCATCCTTTCAGCAGTTTCAGGAACAACAATACGTCGATCCGGATGGTCAAACTCCTCCCCCTCAGCCTCCTCAACGATACATTATGCAGACGACGTCAGGAGGTCCCCCGAAAATGCCGCGGACGATTGTGCCACGTGGCGGAATGACCATGCAAATGGTTCAACAGCAACAGAATAATGTACGATTTTTAGAGTCCAAATTGGCTGAAATCCAGCTATTTTAGCTGGAAAATTTCGAATTTTTCTTTTTTTTTTTAATTCGAGCTACAAATCGCTGAAATTTGCTATTCTTGCACTGAAAATTCCAAAGAAATTCCCAAAAATCGAACTTCAAGCTTGAAAATTCGAAATTTCAGAATCCACGACGATTTGTGCCGGCGAGAAACAAGCCGCGGACGGCGATCACCTATGGAGACTTTTTGGCGAGTCGTGGTTATCAGGATGGATCGAAATTCATGTTAGTTGACTGAAAATCAGTTAGAAACTGCTAAAAATATGCTCGAAATGGCTGAAACTCGCTCAAAATTCACGAAAATCGTTTCAGGATGCAAACAAAGCCCACATTTCTACCATTCGAATTCAACGAGGAAGAGGAACGAGAAATAAATGAAGCGATAGCAAGAGAGGAGGAGTGGATGCGATTGGAGGTGATTTTTGACTTGAATATTGGGATTTTTAGCTGAAAAAGACCCATAAATCATGATTTTGACCCAAAAATGCCCATTTTAGGCACTAAATGCATTAATCTTGACCAAAAAATGCCTAATTTCGATTCTAAAAATGCCATGTTTTGCTAGAAAAATGTGCTTTTTTTTAGCTGAAAATAAGAGATTTTGAGTCAAAAATAAGCACAATTTCTACCCAAAAAAGCTGAAAATTTGCTTCAAATTTGTTAATTTTAACCTGAAAATCCGCTTTTTTGGCTTCGAAAAATCTGAAATTTCGAGACGAAAATTGGTCATTTTGAACCCTAAAACCGAGATTTTCAGCCAAACTTTTCAAATTTCAGCCCTTAATGCCTATTCTTCAGGAGGAGAAAAAGATCGGCGGTTTCGACGCGTCGGGCAATCCAATTCGGTCGTTTTCCTCAGCAAATGACCCAAATCGAGCAGCTCCATACGTCTCGAATCTTCTACCGTCGATTAATGATACGCCAGATGATAAAGTTATCAAACAGGTTCGAAAGTTTCTAATTTCATCAATTTAAAAAATATTTTAGTTGCTTTTGAGGTTTAAAATAAGCTCCCTTTGTGTCAATCTTGGGGTTCGAAATACCCAATTTAAGGCGAATTTTTAATAATTTCAAAGTCAAAGTTACCTAATTTAAGCTCCGTTTTTGCCAATTTCGGGTCAAAAAATAACAAACTTCAACCCTATTTCTACCAATTTTGAAGCCAAAAATGTCATATTTCCGCCCAATTTTTGTCAATTTTGTAGCTAAAAATGTCGAACTTATGTCCAATCGTAGTTAATTTTTAAACCACATTTTGTCAATTTTGAGGTCAAAATGTCGAATTTTCGCTCAATTTTTGTCAATTTTAAGCCCAAAAGAACATAATTCAAGCTTTTTCAAAGTAAATTTCGAAGTCAAAAATGTCGAATTTCAGCTTAATTTTTTCCTGTTTCAAGCCCAAAAATACATACCGTAAAACCTGTAATAGAAGAGCCCCACACTGTTAAGTTTGAGCTCAATTTTCTCAGCTCCTATAAGAGATATCAAAAATGTGTCAACTGCTACAATGTTTAGGATATTATGATAAACAATTTATCAGTTGACAAATTTCTATATCTTTATCGGGAATTGAGGAAAATTGGCTCAAAGTTGAAAAATAGGGGACCCTTCTATTACAGGTTTTATGGTAATTCAAACTTTTTTAAAGCGAAATTTGGGGTTCAAATTGAAACTCAATTTTCAACATTTTTGAAGTCAAAAATGTCTATCTTGAAATCAAAAATAACAAATTTTAGCTCAATTTTTGACCATCTAAACACCAAAAATACATAATTCAAGCTTTTTTAAAAGTCAATTTCGAAGTCAAAAATGTCAAATTTGGGTCAAATTTTAGTTAATTTTGAGGTTTGAAATACCTAGTTTAAGCTTATTTTAGTCAATTTTGAAATCAAAAATAACACATTTCACCCTACTGTTACTCATTTTCGGGGTCGAAAACCACCAAAATAGAGAAAATGACAGTTTTCACTCCAAAAATCTATCAAAAATCCAAACTTCCGGACATCGGGACACACAGATCATACGAATTTGGTTTTTCCAGGTTCTCGACGTGATGTTCAGCCAAGTTTGCCGTTGGGATCGCCAGTATGGATGGTCGAAAACGCATATGAAACGGGCGAGAGCGAAAAATGATTCGGATAAAATTCAGTGGGTTTTTGCTGAAAATCGGACCAGAATGAGCTGATTTTTTAGTCTTAAAGGCCAAAAAAATCAGAGAGAAAAATGACATTTTTGACCCCGAAAATTCGAATTTCAGCCTCCGAAAAGCGCGTCTAACCCAACGAGAAATAATGATATCCGAGCACATGGAACGGCTGAAAAAGGAAATTAACAAGCGTAGGACGAAAATGGAAAACGAGGCAGAACAGATGTGTGGACTGCTGACACCGTGGCGGAAATCAAGGTCCAGACCGCATAGAAGTGAGTCTTTTTAAGTTGGAAATTTGACAATTTTTGTATTAAAACAACCTAAAATTGGTCAAATGAAATATTCGGGACCCCAGAATTGACGAAAATCGGTCTGAAATTAGGGTTTTTAACCCCAAAACAGGCTGAAAATCAGTCATAAACTTTGCATTTTTAGTTTCAAAATTGACCGAAATTGGGGCCTAAATTAGGTGATTTGAACCCAAAAAGCAGCGAAATCGGGCCGAAATTTGTTATATTTTGACTCGAAAAATGACAAAAATAAGACTGAAATGAGGTGTTTGGAACCTCAAATTTGACAAAAATCAAGCTGAAATTCGACATTTTCGACCCCGAAATTGGCAAAAAAGGCTTAAACGAGATATTTTGATCCTCAATATTGGCGAAATAAGGCTGAAATTAGGTGTTTTGAACCCCGAAATTAAAATTGACTAAAATTACACTGAAATTTGTGCTTTTCGACCCCCAAAAAGTGATGAAAATGGGCTCAAATTTGTTACTTTTTGACTCAAAACTGGGAAAAATTGGGCTTGCATTCGACATTTTTGACTTCAAAGTTGGCGAAAATTGAGCTGAAATTCGGTATTTTTCTACCCCAAAACTGATAAAATTGGGCTAAAATCATATAATTTTTGACCCCGAAATTGACATAAATGGGTCTGAAATGAGGTGTTTGGATCCCCAAAATTGGCATAAATTTGGTTTTAAAACTGACTTAAAAATTGGACTGAAATCAAATTCCCTCTTGTCCCAAATTTTCCAAAATTCAAATTCTCCTTTCTCCTCACCTCTCCTAAATTAATCTATTGACACATGATGAACTTTTGATGTGTTCTCTGTGTGGTCGGTCTCCTCTCTTTCGGCAGGCTTTAGGCCGGCGCCCCGTTCTTTCTCTGCGTCTCTCACTTATGAACACACTCTCTCGCTTTCCACATGGTGTTCGTTTTTTTTTTCTGTAGTACTGTAGCACTGTCAACATAACACACGAGGTGGGAAACAGAAAGAAAGATGGAGGTGAAGAGAAAACATTTGAATTAGAAGAGACGGTGAATATTGGAAGCCTGTCTTCTTGATGACGTGTGAATCGGTAATTTACGGGATAATGTCCCTGAGAAATCGAGAACGGAGAAAGTTCTGGAAAACGATTCTGAGGCTCTGGACTTCACTGGATTCTAGAATCTTCAAGACGTGAATCACCGGAGAATCAAGATCTTTAAAGACAGCTGGAGCTTCTTAAGGATCCCAGAATCTTCGATACATAGATAGATCGTCTATAAATCATCAGAGGTATTTATAGATCTTATAGATCAGTCCTAAGAACTCAAAATTCGGATCTTCGGATCCGCTCAAAGGATCTAGACTATCGAACCACCGTAATCCAGATCCTAACAAGGGAAGTGTTTGCAGACAGTGGTTGAGAATTTTTTGAAAATTGGTACACATATACTTTCGGACATGGTCAATAACGAGACGACTTTTTTCGTGCCCCTCGGTACCTAGAAGCTGGAATAAACGCGTCTGAAATTTCACCTCTGTTAAAGCATTAAAAGCGTGAGCACGATCTCCCCCTTTCTTATACAAATTGTGGAAGCAGTGAGGAACAGCGAGTGTGGTGTAGTGGTGAAGAGGGATGGTGGTAACTGGCAAGGGTTAGTTCGATCCTTCTTTCCCCGATTTGTTTTCTGTTTTTTTTTTGTGATCTTGCTGGAAATCTCAAAGGGTGCCAAAACCTTTAGAAAAAATTTCAATTCAGATTTTTATTAATTTTGACAAAAAAATTTTTAACTTGTTTCGAAAAAAACCCAAGAAATCATTTTGAAATTTTCTTGAAGAACTGCTGGAAAACCATCTTTAATCAAATTTTTAGTCAGAACCACCCAGATTTGCTCAGTTTGGATGCGGAACAGTAATAAATTAGTCAGAAATTATGTAAACCTATGTTTTTACAAGATTTGAGTGCTACTGGGTGATTACCGAAGGCCTACGATCCATTAAAGTTTAGAAAGAAAGTACATTTTTGTGATTTCCAGAAATATTTAGAATACCAAATTTCATGAAAAGACTCATTTTATCGGTTCTTTACGTTTAAAAATCATTTGAGCACATTTGAAAATTTTTCAAAAAATTGTAAAAATTTCCAAAGGTGGTACCCCATGGCGACTTTTTTTTTCAAAAAATTTTTTTTTGAAAATTGAGGCTACTTTCTCAGATTGTAGAGAAACCTTCAAAAGTACGATTTACATTCGAGAAACTCCGAAAAACTGTTATTAACCCCTCCAAAAACTCACTCCAAAAGTGAGAAATTAGCACTGAAATCACTTTCAGAGCCCATAACTTTTTTGTGAGGAGCAAGGGGCAAAAAATAAAAGCAGCGCTGTGATCAGCGTGTCCAAAAGTACCAATGACCAACGTTTGAACAAATTCTCAACCACTGTCTGAAAACACTTTCCTTGTAAGGGCTCAATAGATCTAGTCGTGGTATGAGACTTCTGAGTCGTTGGAGCTTCTTGAGGATACCAGAATATTCCGAGTCGTAGATCAGCTTAGACTCTGTCAGCAAAGGCTGTGATCATCTGAATCTTCGAAGAGATCAGAATTCCAGATTTTAAACCTTTAGAACTCAGGATTCTGAACGTCTCTGATCTTCTAGACACTAGATTCATGAGAACTCGAACCGACGGATCTTAAGTATCTTTAAAGGATCCTAGACGGTCATCTAGGCTAGACCCCCTAGAATCCCATCTGAGGTTCCATGTGAACCTATGGATTCTAGAATCTAGAATCTGGAATCTAAAATTCAAACCGGTTCCATGAGTTCCAGATCCGAGGAATCTTCGGATCCTCTGAATCCAGAATCTAGATCTTCTGAATCCAAGAATCACCGAAAAGCTCATGACCGTACTTTTTTGTGTTCCCCCAATGTGTCCCTGTTTGCCCGATTGTCCTCTCATCACGTGAATAAGATGTGGACCCGTTCGGACCCGACACCCCCTCAGAAGCATAATGAGTCACAAGACCCCCTTGGAGATTTGAATATAGACTCCGCCCCCCTCTAAAGAGCGTAGACTCCAGGGAGGCGCAGACACTATTTAGAATGACATCATTCTTTCTCTCTACCAACACATCTGCGCGTATTCCGCCCGATTGCTCGTATACTATCCAAGAGGAAATAGTGCTGGTAAGTGGAGAGACGCCAGACACTTTTCCGCGTCCCCCTCGTGACGAGAGAGCGTCGCGGAAGCGCGCAGAATGTTCGAGAAGAATCGAGGGGAGGAGGGTGGGAGGAGACGCCGAAAACAACAAACAGGGTATAAAAGTGCAAGAAGACCACCCAGGGTCCCTAACTAACTTCAAATCATGGTCCTACGTACCGTATTCCTACCTGCCACGTGCTATACAGTACCCTCTACAATGACCTGTCCATCTGAAATGACTGGATTCTCGTCGCTATCCCTCTCGTGTCCCTTTGACGACGAGGCCCTCCAGAATCCTGAAGAGCTGGAAAATGAGATTTCTGAAATTCTGCCGAAATTCTCCACGGCCGATCAGGACTGGAAATCGTTTGGGTATCTACTCAACGAGGAACCCGGCACGTCTTCTGAGAAGGTGACGAGGGTTACGGTATTCCAAAATTCGCAAAAAAATATTGAGCCGATTGGAAAAGGAAGACGGCGAAGGCGAAATGCGGATATGGAAATTATCATGGGTAAATTTTCAGAGTTTTGTTGAATTATAAAATTTCTGGGACCTCTTTGAGCTCAAAATATTAATTTTAGGCCATTTTTGGAATCATTTGCAGTCTAAAAATCTGAAATTTTAGGGGAATTTCGAGCCCTAAAAAGGACTAAAAATCACTAAAAATCTGACTTCAAAAAACTGAAAATTCCAGAAGCTTCAGCGGCGAAACCAAAAGCGGAAGTGAAAAAAGAAGTTATCAATCCGGCTGATATCACACTTGGAGGCGATACGTACGACTATGAAAAAGAGCAAAAGGTGAGAAATCCGGATTTCTGGATACACAGACAGATAGATTTGAGTAAAAATTTGAAGGTTTTGACTTGAAATTTGAGCTTTTTAGACTGGAAAATGTGGATTTTTTGACTGTAAAAAGCTCTCAAAAGTGTTGCTAAAACGTGGAAAAATATGAAATTTAAGCTCGAAAATTCTGAAATTTGCGCCGGAAATTTTATGGAACTTCTGGCTGAAAATCTTGAATTTTTGTCTGAAATTAAAAAAAAAATTTTGGCTGAAAATCTTGAATTCTTGACTGAAAATCTTTAATTTTTGACAAAAATGTCTTGAAAATTTGGCTGGGAATGCTGGAATTTTTGACTGGAAGTCAAGTCATTATAGACTGGAAATCTTGAAATCTAGAAAATTCTGAAGTTTTAGAATTCAGGATTCTGAAATCTGATTCCGAATTCTGAAATTCTTAGAAATTCAAGTTAGATTTTTTCCATTGACTCCACGACACCAGGATTTTAGAATTTTCTGGAACCTTCAGAATCCCCACCCTCATTCTCATCCTATTCTTTTCCAGCCCACCGACTCTATCGCTTCTGGAGTGTCCCGACGTCGTCGTACGTCTGCGAACCTCTCCAAATCGGAATCCGAAGACAAATCAGACTCCCAGCCACGTGGCAACAAAGAACGTCGAACGTCTCAAGAACCAATCCATCGTGTCGTCTACTTCTCGCCCGGCACCGCCGTCCCCATGGAAATAGACATGGCGATGAGCCACTGTACGTGTCAGCAGCCATTCGATGCGAATCGATTCTATGTTCAATGTGATATGTGCGCGAGATGGTATCACGGCGATTGTGTGAATATTACCGAGAAAATGGCACTGAAGTTCGAGCAATGGACGTGTGAGCAGTGTATTGAGGAGCAGGAAAGGGTGAAGGAACAACCAGCGCTGTATTGCGTCTGCAAGAAGCCCTATGATGATACTAAGTGAGTTTGAAGGGAAAAGAAGCGGGGTAAACGGTCAACGTAAATAGCTCAAAAGTTGGTCAATTCGACTCTAAAATAGTTAAAAAATTAGTCAAAAATGGACTTTAAAATCTCAAAATTAGTAAAAAATGATCCTAAGTAAGACAAAACGAAATTGGACCTAAACGACCCTAAAATAGCCCATGAATGTTCTCGAATCATCCACAATCCTCTTTTTTCCAGATTCTATGTCGGATGTGACAGCTGTCAAGGATGGTTCCATCCGGAATGCGTCGGAACGACACGCGAACAAGCCGAACAGGCGGCTGACTATAACTGTCCGAGCTGTCGCGATGGATACGAATCGGAAGCATCCGAAGCGTCGGTAGCCAGCAGAGCCAGTGTTGAATTGACGTAATTTATGAGAAGAAGCTCAGAAAGTTCTAGAAGCTGAAAAACCGGCGATTTTTGAGCTTAAAAAATTCTGGAAAATCCCAAATTTCCACTCAAAATTGGCCAACTTATAATCTTCTAGATGCTCAAAAAATTCTAGAAAAATCTCGAATTTCCCACTATAAAATTCCTATTTTCAGCCGAGCCGACTACTGCTTCGTCAACGAACTGCTGGAGCTGCTCAATGAGCACCGAATGAACACGCCATTCCGAACGCCAGTGGATCTGACCGAATTCCCAGACTACACGCAATATGTGAAGAAGCCAATTGGTAGGTTTTCAGCTTGATTTTCATGATTTTAGCTAGAAATTCAGCTCCAAAATCCTCTAAAAAAGAAATTTACAGATCTAACAATCATTGGCAAAAAAGTGCACGATCTCGAATATCAATATCTGGGACACTTCGTCAACGATGTGAATCTGATGTTTGAGAACGCGAAGACGTACAATCCAAAGGATAGTGCGATTTTCAAATGCGCCGAAACGATTCAAGAAGTGTTTGATAAGAAGCTAATGGCTGTTAGGGAACAAATGACCGCCAATCAGCAAATGCTTTTATTCCAACAAAATCACCATGATCCGATGAGCACCGCCCGTAAACGCGTACAATCGGAAAGCCAGAAAACCGTCGATTCGTTGGACATCGACCCCGATCAGTTACTGCCCTTTGATCCGAGCGTTATGATGTATTTTGGATATCAATGATTTTGAATTTTTGAAAATTCCAAAAATTGTTATTTTTTGAAAGTTTTAAGAACTTCTTTGTACTTTTTTTTAGTGTTTCTTTCCCTTGTTATTATGTTCTGTTTTTGCAATTTTTTATAGTCATGAATTTTGTGATTTTGTTTTGTTATGCAAGCAAGGAAATCTCGAAAAATCGGGGGAAAAAAAAGGAAAATTTGAACTTCTAACCTAAATTTTGGTTTGAATTTTATCGAAATTTGACAGTTATTGTTATAGAAAACGCTGAAAAAGCGCCGGAAATTCTTGAAAAATCTAAATTCCAAAAAATTTACAACCTACAGTAACCCTCAAAGGCGAATGGCATAAAAATATGTTCTGATCCCCGCCGCGAAATTGAATTTTTCAGTTTTTTTCATTTTTTTAAGACCAAAAAATGTTAATTTTGAATTTCTCGTCTAAATTGTGGTCTAAATTTTATTGAAATTTGACAGTTTTGAGATAAAAACGATGACAAATTGCTGAAATTCTTGAAAAAATTACCCAAAAAAAATTCAATTTTCTACAGTAATTAAAGGCGCATGGCTAAAAATTTATTCTGAGTCTCACCACGAAATTGTATTTTTTGGCTTTTGAGCGTTTTCGGATGTTTTTTTGATTATTAAAATTTTAATTTTTTAAATGAAAGCTTAAGCTAGCTTTCAATCAAAAAAATTGCCGAAAAACCCTAAGAACAGAAAAAAGCGAAAAAAATTACACAAAATTTAAAAGTTACAGTATTCCATAAAGGTACAGATGTATCAAAAGTACTTAGCGCTTCACCACGAAATACAGAATTTTATTTTGGGAATTTAATTTTTTCGGCGCTCAAATTATTCAAATTAGGTCAATTTTCGTGCAGTTTTTTCGCATTTTTTGCTGGTTTAATAACTAAAAACTTGTAATTTCTGCTAGTTTTCTTCCTAAATTCACCTTCAAAAGCGAAACAATGAAATAACATCTGTTCGTCCAATAAAATTCAAATTTTGCGGTGGAAAATTCGCTCGATTCAAATAGCGCGCGCATCGTCGCGCCGTTCCACCCAAATGATTTTCTCTTATCTTCACCGACGCTTTTTTCGGTCTTTTTTTCTCATCCACTCCTTCATTTTTGTGCTCATTTTTAGGCTCATTTTTTCTCTCCAAACGGGTGTGCGCACAGAACGTACATACACAAACAACCTCCCTTTTTTTTCTCTCACTATCTCTGTCAGTGAGAAAGAATTTCATTCGCCGTGTGGTGACATTTTATTGATTTTCAGAGTTTCTCCTCGGAAAAAAGAGATTTAAAATTCCTCTCCGGAGCCTTATCTCTGCTCTCTGATAGCATTTTTCAATCTTCTAGAAATTGATTTACGCTTTTTATGAATCAAACTTTTTTTTAAGTCAAGAAATCCCAAAATTTCAGAATCTTATATGCAGACGGAGCACAATGACATTTCAGCCAGATCAACATGAATTACAGCAGGTTTGTCAGCCCCGAAAATCGATTAGTTCAAATTTCAAGGATTTTGCAATCTAAAAATCCAGAAATATCGGCTCTGAGATGCTCTAACTAGCCATTGAAAGAACTGGAATTTGCTAAAAATTCAATGAAAATTGTTTTAAAATTTCGAAATTCCCCCGAAAAATGTCGAAAATTTGGTAAAAATTAACTGTAAAATGGTCCAAAAACCATGAAAATTGGTCCGAAATTCCTGAAAATTGCTGAAAATTCGTTCGAAAATTCTGAAAAATAGCCCAAAAAGAGCTGAAAAATTATCTAAGAATTCTGAAAATTGGGCAGAAAAATTGTGGAAAATTAGTCAAAAATCATCGGAAATGGCCTAAAAATAGCTGAAAAATCATGAAAATTGGTCTAAAATTAACGAAAAATCCCCAAAAATCCAATGTTTCAGGTCATCCAACTACTTCGCCACGCGCACTCAATGGATCGAGAAGTGCAACGAACGGTCCAAGTACAACTAGTCCAACTAAACGAACATCAACAATTCTGTTGTTATCTCGTCTTCATTCTCTCCGAAATGAAGGGACAAATCGACAGTACCAGTAGATCGCTAGCCGGATTGCTACTCAAAAACAATATCCGCGCGAAATGGAACAAATATCCGCAAGACGTCAAATTCTTCGTTCGTACCACCTGCTTGAAATCCATTGGAGACGCCGAACCCCTCATCCGCGCGACCGTCGGAATCATCGTCACAACCATTGTCATGGAAGAGAACATGTGCGATTGGCCGGACCTTCTAGACACCCTAGCTACCGTACTCATGCAACCCGACGAGTTGATGCAAGAGGGAGCACTTGGAGCACTTCAGAAGGTTTTTGAAGACTCTGCCGATCGATATGAGTGCGAATTTTTGCGGCCGATCATGCCGAAACTTCTCATTTTCTACGAGCATCATAACGCTAAAATGCGAGCGTTGGCTATGAACAGTGTCAATTGCATTTTGATGGTGAACAATGATCCCATAGACTTTGCCATTGATGAATTCCTCACAGCCTTGTTTGCTCGCCACAATGATAATGATGAGGAGGTTCAGAAGCAGCTTTGCAGATCGTTGACTTTGTTGCTAGACACTCATATCGAGAAAATGATGCCACATTTGCCGAATGTGATTGAGTATATAATCAAGAAGACGCAGGATCATAACGAGAGTATTGCTCTCGAGGCATGCGAGTTTTGGTTGTCGATCGCCGAGAATAACGAGATTTGTCGGACGATGGTGCTGCCCCATCTGGATAAACTGATTCCAGTGCTCCTGGGATCTATGAGATACTCGGAAACGGATCCAGCGTTGAAGGCCAACGAGGAGGATAGTTCTGTGCCAGATAGAGAGGAGGATATTAAGCCGAGATTCCATAAATCGAAGCAGCATGGACTGGGTGGAATCATGGATTCGGATGATGAGGACGAGGACGACGATGATGACGATGGAGGTGGTGATTGGAATATTCGACGGTGTGCGGCGGCGTCGTTGGATGTGCTCGCGTCGATTTTTGGGAAGGATTTGTTGGATAAACTGTTCCCGTTGTTGAAGGATACACTGATGAATGATAATTGGTTGGTTAAGGTAAGAGAGATTTTCAGAATCTCAAGAAAATCAGAAATCCTAAAATTCAGAAAAATCGAAAACAAAAATTTCCAGAACTTCAAAAATCTGAAAATCCGAGGAAAATAGTTGAATTAAGGCTCCGCCCACTTTTCTCGAAGTTTTGGAATTTTTGAAAATTCAAAATTTTTAGGATAGTAAAAATCTCTTGGAAATCAGAATTCGATTTTTCAGAATTCCAGAAAAATTGGAATTTTTTCAGAATCCGAAACTTTGGATTCTTAGAATTCTGAAAGCTGCAAATCTGAGAATTCAGAAAAATCAAAATACGAAATTCCGAAATTCAGTAATCTGAAAATTCGAAGCCCCTCAAGTTCTGTCGAAAAAAATCCCGGTAAAAGTGGGCGGAGCCTGAACATTTGCGAAAAAAAAAACTGTGCGGCGCTTGCAATTTAGGCTCCGCCCACTTTTCCGATTTTTCAGATTCCGGTTTTTTTTCGAAATTTCGGAATTTGGAATTTTTTGTATTTTTCAGAATTTCAGAAGTTTCGGGATTTTGAATCATCGGGCTTTCAAATTAATGTTCGCTTCAGACTTTTTAGAAATTTAGAAATATTCGATTTTTCGGAATTTCAGAATTTCAGAATTTTTACATTTCAAGTACCATTCCCGACTCATTTCTATACCAAATTCGAAATTTCATGTTTTTCCAGGAATCGGGAATTCTTGCTCTCGGAGCCATCGCCGAGGGATGCATGGATGGAGTCGTACCACATCTTGGAGAACTGATACCATTCATGCTGGCCATGATGTTTGATAAGAAGCCGTTGGTGCGATCAATCACGTGCTGGACCCTCTCCAGATACAGTTCTCATATTGTGTCGGATGAGAATTTCCGGCAGAATTTCTTTAAAGATGTCTTGGCTAATGTGAGTTTTTAAGTTTTTTCCAGTTCAAATACTGTATTCTCTCTAATAGAAGCCTACCCAATTAAAAGCTCAATTATCTCGGCTCTTTTAAAAGATATCAAAAATCCGTCTACTGATAAAATGTTCATGATGTCATGATAAACATTTTATCAGTTGACAAATTCTTGATATCTCTGATAGGAACCAAGATAATTGAGCTCAAAGTTTTTGGATAAGATAGGCTTCTATTAGAGCATTTACAGTAAGCTAATTCCCGTCATTTTCAGCTCCTCCGATGCTCTCTGGACAGCAACAAGAAGGTTCAAGAAGCCGCTTGCTCAGCATTCGCGACGTTGGAAGAGGAAGCCGGCGAGCAGTTGATTCCGTTCCTCGGAGAAATTCTGGAGCAGCTGGTCAAAGCATTCCAGTGTTATCAGGCGAAGAACCTCCTGATTCTATATGATGCGATTGGAACTTTGGCAAATTCGGTGGGAGAAGCGCTCAGTCATCCGCATTATGTTCAGGTGAGAAATTAGCCTGAAATTGATAAAAACAGGTTCAAATCTGATGAAAATAGGTTTAAGTTACTTAATATTGGTCTAGAATTGTCTTAAATAGTCTGAAAATAATCCTAAATGATCAAAAGTTTCAGATATCTTCTCGAATTTTTCAAAACCTGAATTTTAGGCCAAAACCCCGTAGATTCATTTAAAAACAAAGAAAATTTCATTTGCGATATTTTTCTATAGGTAAATTGTCCAAAAATCACGCCAATTGGTCTAAAAACCATGTGAAAAATGGCCCTGAAATTATGAGAAATGGTCTAAAAATTCTGAAAATTGATCCAAAATGATCTGAAACGAGCTGATAATTGTCCAGAAATGATCTAAAATGACCCTTAATTGGTTCACGATCTCATGCTAATAAAGTCCCAAGAAAGGCTGTCGAGTTCTAATATAAGTCCCAATAAACCTCTCCAAAATCTTCCTAAATATGAACTAATAGTGATTTCTCAGCTTTATAGACAACTAGGAATTGGTACAATTCGATTCAATTATCTATAATTCAAATTTCGCAGATGCTCATGCCACCACTAATGGAAAAATGGGAGCGTCTAAACACGAAGACAAGGAGCTCTTCCCCCTCCTGGAGTGCATCTCAGCCATCGTCTCCGCCATGGGACAATCCTTCATCCCATACATTCAACCAGTCTTCACTCGATGCTGTAATCTCATTGAGAAGTGTGTCCAACAGAATCAACAACACCTGATGTCACCAGAAACCGTTGAAGCACCCGAAACAGACTTCATCATTGTTGCTCTAGACCTACTCTCGGGTCTCGCAGAATCGCTTCCCGACCATATGCCGCCATTGGTGACGAATTCGAAGCTAATCGAGCTGATGTTGTTCTGTTCGATGGATGTCACGACAGATGTCAGACAGTCGTGTTTCGCATTGTTGGGCGACTTGACAAAGGCCTGTCCGGAGAGAGTGTTGATACAGAGCAGTGAGTTTTTTAAAATCCTAATTTTAGGTCATTCATAAAATTGTTTTGACCTATTTTGGGTCATTCTGAGGCTTTAGAATCGTCCAAAATAGGTCCGAATAGTCAAAAAATGATCCAAAATTCACTAAAAATAAAGAATTTGCTCAGCTTTAAGAGCAACTGGTGATGGAATTCGAAAATCAAGAGAATTTTTATATTGCTCAGCTTTATGGATATCTAGGAATGGATTTCGATCTAAAATGAACCTCAAATTGACAAAGATTCTCCTAAAAAATTCAAAAATAATTTTCCAGGCAACTTCATCTTCTTCCTCGCTCAAAACCTGGACCCGACGAAGATTAGCGTGTGCAACAATGCGATCTGGGCTCTCGGAGAGTTGTCCCTCAAAATGGGACCCGCGATGAAGCAGTTCGTCGGACCGATCACCGAACCGCTGATCGCCGTCATCAACACGCAACAGAATATGCAGAGGACGTTGTTGGAGAATACGGGTGAGCACGAATTGAGAGATACTATAGTTTTCAGAGGACTTCTGGAGAGTTTGGCTCTAAGAAATTCTGAAGAATTCTGGAGGACTGAAGGATTCTAAAAGTTTTCTAAAAGTTCTAGAAGGTTCTAGAAGATTCTGAAACATTCTGAATGATTCTGGCGAATTTAAGGGGTTCGGAAGGATTCTGGAGGATTCTAGAACATTCTGAAAGATTTTGAAAGATTCTGAAGGTCTCTGAATGTCTCTGAATGATTCTGAATTGTTCTGAAGGACCCTAGAGGAGTCTGGAGGATTCTGAAAGGTTCTGAGCAAATCTGGACGGTTCTAGCGGTTCAGAAGGATTCTGGAAAGTTCTTGGAGATTCTGAAGGTCTCTGGAGAACGTAGGAGGATTCTGAAGGATTTTGGAAGATTCTAAAGGCTTTTAAAGGCTTTTAAAGGACACTGAAGGTCTTGGATGATTCTGAAGATCTCTGGAGGATTTTAAAAATGATTCTAGAAGGTTCCAGTGAATTTGTTCCCAAAGGATTCTGGACGGTTCTGGAGAGGTTTGAAAAGTTCTGAAAGATTCTGAAGGTCACCGAAATTACTAGAAGGTTCTAGAGGATTCTAAAGGATTCTAAAGGATCCTAATGAGCTCAGAGTTTCTAAAATATCCTGGAAGAATTTTGAAAGATTCGGTTTGAAAGTCTCAGAGAGATTCTGAAGGCCTGGAGGATTCTGAAGGATCCTGAGAGATATGGATGGTTCTTAATCTGGAACTCAAAAAATTGAAAATCCAGTATTTTTATTTTATTCTCATTTTTAAATTATAATTTTTAAAGTTTTCATTTTTGCAGCCATCACAATCGGTCGCCTGGGACAGTTCTGCGGCGAGGAGCTGGCTCCACACATTTCTCGATTCATCCGTCCGTGCTGTTATTCACTTCGTAACATAAAGGATAACACGGAGAAGGAGAGCGCATTCATTGGATTGTGTAATATGATCAATATGAATCCAGTGGGTGTCCTCAACGATTTCATTTTCTGGTGTGATGCGATTGCTTCGTGGACGACGCCTACCGAAAATTTGAGAGCTCTTTTTGCGGGGGTAAGTGCTTTTTTGGAGGGTTTTTGATAAAATTTCGTCTCTTGAAATTTTAAAAAAGTGTGATTTTTGGAATATCCAAATTCTGGATTCTCCTGATTCTGAAAATTTTTCAATTATTCCGAGGCTCTGATATTCTAGAAATTTTAAATTTTTAGATTTTTTGAGCGCAAAATGTCATTTTTCGGCTGAAAAGTGCTGAAATTCTGATTCCCGCCAAAACTGAAAACAACGAAAAAATAGCGATTTTTCGAGAGATAATTTTGATTTTTTTTTTGAATCTTTGCAAAATTTTTAGACCTTTTTTGGGGTTCAACTATTTTCAAAGATTTTTTTTGATTTTTCCAAATTTTTTGTCTGAAATTTGACCGTTCTTACCAGAAGATTACTGTAGACTACTGTAGAAGCTAATTTCCTTCGGTAGTTTTTTTTTACAAAAACGTTTTATCTGCATTTTGACGTGATTGTGTTTGCAGAAAAAACTACAGTAACCTACAGTAATCTTCACGAACACCGTCCCATCGAATTTCAGACAAAAAATTTGGAAAAATCGAAAAAGAATCTTCAAAAATAGCCGAAAAACCTAAAAGGTCTAAAAATTTTGCAAAAAATCGAAGAAAAAATCACTTCTTTCGAAAAATCGCTAGTTTTCAGAGTTTCGAGTTTTCGCTTCCAGAATTTTAGCACTTTTCCGCTGAAAAATGATATTTTTGGGTTCAGAAATCCTCCTTTATTTTTGGAATTTTAGACTTTTTCAGGTTCAAAATTTTCAAAATTTTCAGGAATTTCAGATTTTTTCCTACACAAAAATCTAAACTTTAAGCCCAGAAACACTCATTTTCAGAACGTTTTTCTATCCTAACTGTTTCAGATTCTCCAATCCTTCAAACTTCAAGTCGGCGACTACAACTGGAACGCATTCATTGCTCAGCTTCCACCGCCACTTCGCGAACGTCTCACCGCGTTCATGAGATTTAAATTCTTTTTTTTTCTAAGCCCCGCCGCCATCATCGCCATTTTTATTAATATTATTATTATTTATTTTTTTTTCGTCTGGTGTGTGAAGATCTGGCGTTTTTTACTCTTCAAATTGCCTAGATGATCCCATTTTTTATAGTTAATTTTTCTTTTTGTTCTCATTTCGTTTCTCTCGTCCTCGTCTCTCTCCCCATCAATCAGGTCCCTGTCCTTAACTTGAGTGGAAAATTTGAATTTTTGAGATTTTTCAGCGCCAAATTTGAATTTCCAAGGCTAAAATTGGCCTCGCGTGAATTTTCTATGCAAAATTTCGAAAAGTTTGAATTTTCCACCAAAAACTCACTCTCCTAATATGTTTTTTTTTGTGATGCGATGATTCTCAGTTTTCCTCTCTAAGCTCCGCCCCCTCCGTTTTAACGTGTAACTCGCTCCGCCCCCCATTTTTGTTTGTTTTATGTTTTCCTGTGTGTCCCATCTGTGTCCTTCTGTGTTGTCCGTTTCTATGTTGTGCACTTTCTCTTACTCTTGAAATTAAATTTTGACGAAAAAATTTCGAATTTAAAATTTTTATTTCAAAACAAGAAAAAAAAAGAAAAAATTGGGTCAATATGACTCAAAATAATAGTCAAGAAAAAGGTCTTTTGGATGGCACCGCACCGTTATCAGTCTGAAGTAAATTCAGACTCTTACTGTATCCGGAGCCATCCACCAGTAGAAAAAACCAATTAAATTGATTCCGATGGAGGTTAAAACGAAGATGAACAAGAACGTGATGAGAAAAATGCGCTCCAGAAGTGCCGCCAACCAGTCGTACTCGATTTCGGCCAGATTTCGGGCGGTCCGTGGGGAGACGGGTACTGAAAATTGATTATTATTATCTGTGTTTCCCAGTGTCCAGATGAATTTTTTCGGAACTTGAAAAAAATGGGTTTTGAAGGTTACTAGGTCATATGAATATTTGGATGATGTGAAACGCGCTCTAACGGAAACTTGGCGCGAATCTGAACATTTTCGGATTTTCTCGGGATTTTTGAATTTTTCAAAGTTTTTTTTCCTCGAAAATTGTCTGGATTATAAACCATAAAATTAGAATAATTACTGTCAAAAATTGAGAGAGAAATCTATGAGCAGAGATACGCCCATTTGAAGTTTAGAGAGACGCAGACAGTTCGTCTCATTGTCTGCGTCTACGAACATTGAACGCTCATACCTCAGCTCACCGATGAGTTAAAAGAAGCTGATTTTTGAGGAAATTGAAATTTGAGAAAAGTACTATAATTATGCCCAAGAACGAGCTCAATTGGCCGCCAATGAGCTGAGATATCGCCTCTTGAAGTTTAGGGAGACGCAGACAGTTAGAGTGTCTCGTTGTCTGCGTCTCTCCTAACTTCGAACGCTCATATCTCAGCTTATAGGTGAGCTAGAAACTCGGTTTTTTTTAATTAAACTTTCGGAATTCAAAATCATCAAGTACCTTCAATCTGCCGAAACATCATAGAATCAAAACTGCCACAAGTGGAAGCCTTATGAAGACGTGTGGGTCGTTGCATCGCTGGAGTGGGCGTGGTTTCCAATTCCAAAAGTGAAACGTCCTGATCCTCGTCTTCTGAAGCCAACGTGGGAACGCCCATTGCAACGATTCCCGAGTCGCCTGAAAACTTGATTTTTCGAAAATGCGCTTGAAAATAAAGCCACTTTTGGAGCCCTACAAATTTTGTCTAGAATTTTCCGATTTTTTCGAAAATTTTGGAGTAAATTAAGCAAAAAGAGAGTTTCATTTTTGTAGTCGATCACTTTTTTGAGAAATTCTGTTGAAATGGGATTTTATGGGTGGTTTGGAAGAAATCAATTCACTGAAAGAAGCCCACCCTATAAGTGATCTTTGAGCTTGATAATCTTGGTTCCTGTAAGATATATCAAAAAATTTTAACTGATAAAATGTTTATCATAACATCACTAATATTTTATCAGTTGACAAAATTTTGATATCTCTTATAGGAATCGAGATAATTGAGCTCAAAGTTAACGACCTACATCATTTATGTTAATTGAACGCTCTCTTCTTTGGGCTAATTCATCTTGGCTCCTATGAGAGATACGGAAAATCTGTAAACTGATAAAATATTGGTCAATTTATGTTTAACATTTTATCAGTTGACAGATATTTGCTATCTCTTATGGGAACCGAGATAATTGAGCTCAAAGTTGACGGTTTTGGGAACGTTCTATTAGAGCATTTAAGGGAATTTAACGGTCTCTTATCTTTGAGCCAATTTTTCTCGGCTCCTTCGAGATATATCAAAAATCTGTCAACTGATAAAGTATTTATCATAACGTTGCCTACATTTCATCAATTGACAATTTTTTAATAAGTCTTATGGGAATCGGGATAATTGAGCTCAAAGTTGGCGGTCTGGATGGGCTTCTATTTTGGTCAACTACAAAAACATGGCGCGTAGTTTTAGCCCCGAAAAAACCCACTGATACAAGTGACATCCTTATTGATTGTGCACCGCTTTCCACCGTTATCAATCAGCTTCTCGGGCGTCAGCACCTCGTTGAATTTTCCCGAGTTTTGAGACGTCTGAACGTCCTGGATCAGCAGGAAAAAAAAGAGAATAAAGGATAGAATTCTATGCTACGAGGGGATAGGGTTAGTGGGGGTTAGGATAGGAAGATTGGCAGATTTTCAGATTCTTTAAATTCTTAAAGTTGTGAATTTCAAGATTCGAAAATTTTGAGAAAACAAACTACATAGAAATTCAAGCGAAAAGATTGAACATTTTGAAAGAAATCGCGATAGAGTACAATGAAACTTACGGGTCGTCCAAGTAAATTTACACTAATCTGAAATTGTTGATTTTGAAAAAAATTTGAAATTGGACAGATTTTGTGACCAAAACAGTTGAAAAACAAGGTTAGGATAGTTTTGGACATTGCGACAAACGGAAAATTGGGATACATGCACTTTGAGCTCAATTACTTCGGTTCCTATGAGAGATATCAAAAATTTGCCAACTGATAAAATGTAAATTGGCAAGCATTTTATCAGTTAACAAATTTTTGATAGCTTTCAGAGGAATCGAGATAATTGAGCTTAAAGAAAGCGTACCCAGAAATAAACCTTTATGTGATGGTTTGCATTAGAGCGCATTTAACTCAGAAACTAATGAAGTTATGAATATTTGTCAACTGAAAAAATGTTAATGATAATGTAGCAAACATTTTTTCAGTGACAAAATTTTCAATATCTCTTATAAAACCTGAGATAATTGAGCTCAAAGTGTGCAAGTAAAGGATGGCACTTTGAGCCGCCATACTGGCGAACGGGCGAAGAACGGACATTGGCGGGCCCGGTCATAGTGTCTTTTAGGATCAATATTTTCAGATAAATTTAACGAAACATTATAGAACTTGACAAGTACTACAAAACGATACTATTTAGTATACTTTATCTTTTCTATGAACAAAGATTTAAGCCAAAAAGCTAGGGTATTACCCCGTAGCTCCAACGGTTTTTGGCTTGTAACTTTGTTCATAGACAAGATACAGCATTCTGGATAGTATCATTTCGTAGAACTCGTTAAATTCTATTCTATCTGAATTAGGTAGTCAAAAAATGTTGATCATAAACGAAACTATGGGTGGACCCGTTTTGAATGAAATCTTACAGCGCTAACATTCCCCAGCTTTGCGCTCAATGGACTTTTAGAGAGTTCCGATTACCTGCACACTTTGAGCTCATATATCTAGAAGCTCATTTATCTATAAGAGCTCATTTATCTATAAGAGCTCATTTTATCTTTGAGCTCATTTATCTATAAGAGATATCAAAAATTAACTGATTAAATGTGTCTTCATAATATTCACAAAATTTTATCAGGTAAAAATTATTCAACATCTCTTATAGGCACCGAGATAATTGAGCTTGAAAAGCGCACGCTCTATAAGAACACATAGGACACTTTTAGAGAGGTCCGAGTACCTGCACACTTTGGCCTCATTTATTCGGTTCCTATCAGAGATATCAAAAACCTATCAACTGATAAAATGTTTTTCATAACATCACTAACATTTTACTTGTTAACAAATTTTGATTAACTTTTATAAGAACCGAGATATTTGCGCTTGAATTGTAAGCATTCCTATAAACCTCCACCAACCCGAAACTCAAGAACAATTAAGCATAACACAGACTACTAACCTTTCTCAATGCTTGCTCCCTTGCCAATTTATAAACCCTGGTCCATAAACTCTGCTTCCGTCCCATTTGTTGCCGCCTCAATTTCTCTTCTCTGGCTTTCTGAGCGTACGCCTGTTTCATGATTAATGGCATCTCCATTCGAATGAATCGATTGACAGCTCTCGCGATATTCATTAAACTTTTTGATGGTGGGTTCCCAATATTTCCTTGTTTTTGAACATAAATAACTACTGAGGAGCAGATTGTTGAGAATGAGATCAGGAGAATCATTGAAGTGTAGAAGAGACCGATAAGGGGAATGAATGAAGACGTTGAGGGCATTTTGTCGGAAACCATAAAAATTAAAATTGACATTGAGAGAAGGGTGGTGATGCCGAGAGTGATTTTTTCCTCGCGAGGCTCGTTTATGGAGGATGTGCTGGAAATAGTTAAAAGTCTGAATTTTTTGAATTCTCAAATTTCTGGAATTTTAGAAGTTTAGAATTTTAGAATCTTAGAATCTTAGAATCTTAGAATCCTAGAATCTTAGAATCTTAGAATATTAGAATATCAGAAATCTAAGAATCTTAGAATTTTAGAATCTTAGAATCTCAGAATCTCTGAATCTTAGAATCTTACTATTAGAATTTTAGAATTTTAGAATTTTAGAATTTTAGAATTTTAGAATTTTAGAATTTTAGAATTTTAGAATTTTAGAATTTTAGAATTTTAGAATTTTAGAATTTTAGAATTTTAGAATTTTAGAATTTTAAAATTTTAGAATCTTAGAATCTTAGAATCTTAGAATCCTAGAACCTTAGAATCTTAGAATATTAGAATATCAGAAATCTAAGAATCTTAGAATTTTAGAACCTTAGAATCTCAGAATCTCTGAATCTCAGAATCTTACTATTACAATTTTAGAATTTTAGAATTTTAGAATTTTAGAATTTTAGAATTTTAGAATTTTAGAATTTTAGAATTTTAGAATTTCAGAATTTTAGAATTTTAGAATTTTAGAATTTTCAAAAAAAAATTTTTGACTCACCTGAAAAATCCAATAATCGAAATAAAAGTGATAATTGAAGTTGGTATAATTAAATTGATAATGTAATATAATGGTTTCCGTTGAATGGTTAATCGAAATTCCAACAGTGTATAGTTGTTTGGACAACAGTCATACTTATTCTCGTGTCGGATTACTGTAACTTTTGTGTGTGTCTGTTTGTCCGGATGTCCACCACTTACCACTAGTCGATAACACATTCCATCCCTCATTTTCAATGCAATTTGTAGTTCCAATCGCTTGACTCTCATTAAATGCAAAATAATCAATTTTGGTGTTATCGAATGTCCAACTGCCAAATAGAAGACGACAAGACTGGAATTTGGGGGTTTGAAAAACACCGTTTGGACTACTGTACCTGCACATCAAACGGAAAGAATCGAAGATTCAAAAGACAAGATAATTTATAAATTGTTGGATATAACAACTCGATAAATGCACCATTTCCATCGCCAAGTGTTGTCACTTTGGCATGAAGAAGGCGACGATTTTCGTCGTCTTTCATCACCAAACTGCAAATGATTTTTTGAGATTTTTTATAAACTTTTTCTGGTTTTCTGTATTTTGAATTTCTTTATACAAATTTCTGAAGTTCTGAAAGGTCCAAAATTTTGAACTTCATCCGTTCTGAACTTTCAAATTTCAAATTTCAACATTTGAAAATTCGAAGTGCTTCAATTTTGCGAATTTCGTAGTTTTTCAATTTCTGAGTACCTGATTTTTTGAATATTGAAAATCTGATTTTTCGGAAACTCAGTAACTCAAACTTTTCGAAATTTTTGAAACCTTGAAAATGTAGAAATCAAAAAATTTATTTTCGAAGTTTTTAAAATTTCGGGCCCTTCGAATTTCTGAAGTTCTAGGAATTCCCAAACTATAGAATTCCTCAGAATGTCAGAATTTCAGAATTTGACAATTTCAGAATGAATTTCAGAAATTGACAATTTCAGAATGAATTTCAGAAAATTCAGAATGTTCAATTTTATGAACTTTTGAGGTTCTGAACATCTGAATTTCTGAAATTCTGGGGTTCTGAATTCCTGAATTTCTGAATTTCTAAATTTTGGAAATTCAGAAATTCAGAAATTCAGAACCTCAGAATTTCAGAATCTCAAAATCTCAGAAAAATTTTTCGTTTTCGATTTTTCAAAATTTGCGTACGTACAAATTTCCAATATCTCTAATACAGTCCTAAATATCTGTTTATCCGGATGTCCTTAACTTACGAATTATACAAAGTTGTATCCGGCAGCCATATATTATGATGAGGCAACATGATTTCCGTTACATTTCCAAATTTTTCAGGGTCCCATCCAAGTAAATGATCTGTCCATCGCTGAAATTTAAGAATTTTCTATTTTTCCATTTTTGGAAAAAAAATTCCTAAAATGTTAAAACCCTTACCTCTACAACCCATGCATTCAACATCAAATATTGTTGTGGTTCGTTCTAAAAACAAATTTTTAAAAATATTTTCAGAGAAACCGATACACAGACAGACCACAGAAATAATTTGATACAATTCCATGGAAAAGTGCACTTGAATCGGCTGTTTGGTCCGCGAGACGGGGATCAACCCGGCGTTGTACTTGTCCAAAATTTTGTTGGCAATTTCATATTGTTCTGGAAATTTTTCTTGGGCTTTTTAATTGTTTTCAAAGTTTTAAATATTTCTTTCACATTTTTCGAATATTTAAAACTTTTGAATTTCTGGAATTTTTGAATTTCTGAAATTCTGAATTTCTGACATTTCTGACATTTTATACCATAGTTGCAACGGGCCGGGCCGGCCCACCTCTCACAGTGGAAAGTGAAAAATTGGGTCATTTTTTAAAATTAAATAAGAAAAAATTTAAATTTTTGAATAAAATTAACAGAGTGGAACGTAATCAAAAAATAGGTAGTTTTTGCTCAAATTTTTGAAAAAATTTCAAAAATTTCGAAAAAAATTTACTTTAATCAGCGTCTGCACAGAAGGCGGCCCGCCAAAATCCTCGACGGGCCGGCCCGTGATTAGGCAACTATGTTTTATACCATGAAAAATGATTAATGTACTTTGCCCTCTAATAGAAGGGCCTCCATAATAGAAGGGCCCTCTGTGAAAAAAGACACCCCTTCAAAATGTGTTTTAAAACCAGAAAATTTTCTTACTTTTTCAGTGGAAAATATTCCGGGAACTCCACAATTTGATAGAAATTTGTTGAAACTCTATTTTTCAATGAATATCTTGCTAAATTTTGGTGAAATGGGCAGACTTTCATGAATTTTGAACGGAACTTCGTCGAATCTTTCAATGAAAAATTTCGGAACTGCCCATAAAAATAGAAGGTTCCCGTCTAATTGGAAGGACCTTGTAATAGAGAGGCCCTCCGGAGGTACCTTGGAACAATAGAAGGGCCCTTCTAATACAGGTTTTGCGGTACTTCTATTTGCTTTTCTAGGTCTGATATAGAGACTCCTAAAAGTTTTTTCAAAGTCTGAAATTTTTATAATTTGCTCATCCAATCGTATTTCCGATTGGTCTAGAATGACTAATACGCTTCTTCAGATTTTGTTCATAATTTTCCATTTTTCACTTCCTCGTATTATATTTTTTTGGTTCCACGCCTTTCATACCTCAATTGGCTCAACAATTTTTGTACCTTTGACCTAAAACAAGTCTAAAAAACTGAGATGATTGAACCTTAAACTTTTTGGTGCATTTTTTCTATGAGGAGGAAGCAAGTAAAAGATAATCGACCGATTTAATGTATAATCGTCATATATATTTTTTGATACGAATAGAAAAAATGAAGAAAAAGAAAAAGGTCAGGAGAGGAAATCTAGTCATAATTCAGCGCATAAATTATGAAAAAAGTGGTCATTTGACGAAGTCAAAAATTAATAAAGTATGATGTCAAAGGAAAAAGGACAAAAAAGGGGGAATTAGAAAATTTATATTGTTTCAGGATTTTGAAAAATATTAGAATTTTCATAAAATTTCGAGCTTTTTTCAGAAATTTCGGATTACTCAGAAAACTTCAAATTTTTCAAGAAACGTAAGAGATTTGAAAATTTTCGAAAAAAATGTACGAGATTCGAATATGTTCAGATTCTTCATATTTCAGAGTATATTTCAAAGAACTTACGAAATTTAAAAAAATGCCAGAAAAATGAAAAAAAACTTACCTGAAGAATGGACAAAATTTGAGAATAGATGAGGAAGACAAAGAAATAGAGCCGCTAGGCGGCCACTCGACATCAATGCCTACCCTGAAATCAAAAAGATTCGGCGGGAACTTTAAATTTTTGAAAAAAACGTTTTGCGGAAATTGAGATCATATTGTTTAGAAAAATTCCCATGATTCCTGAAGAGCAGGTCTTGCGGGAATTCAAAAAAAAAGAAGAATTTGTAAACTTTAAAAGAATTTGGTTCAAAAATGAAACATCAATTTTTCAAAAATCCAAACATTCAGACCCAAAAAAGAAGAAATAAACAAACTGAAATTGAAGACCCCTGCTCCTTTTTCGTGTCTTCTAACATTAACAGAAAAAATCTAGTAGGACATAGTAAAAAAATGCAAAGATTGAGATGAGAGAGTGAGAGAGTACATCAAGAATCAATTTAAATGAAGAAAAAAAAATAGGCAATGGAGAAAAGGTCCCGTCCCATGGAAGAAAAAGGAAATACATGACGAGAGAGAGAGAGAGGAATTGATGATCTTTGGGTGTTATTGGTAGCCTAGAAGTTTGGGTAGGGAGAAAAGTTAGGCCAGATAAACAGTTTTTTTGGTAAATTGAAAATGCTAACATCCCGGGTACCGTATTTCATATACTAGAAGCCCACTCAAACTGCCAACTTCAAGCTCAAATATCTCGATTCCTTTAACAGATATCAAAAAATATTTAACTAAATAATAAAATGTTGGTGATATGCTGACTTCAAGCTCGATTATCTCGGTTCCTATGAAAAATACTAAAAAACTGTTAACTGATAAAATGTTGGTGATATTATGAACAACGTTTTATCAGTGGACAAATTGTTGATTTCTCTCATAGGAATCGATATAAATGAGCTCAAAGTGTGTAGGTACTCGAGACTCTTTACAATTGTTGTATGGGTTATAATAGAGCGCGCACACCTCAAGATCAATTATCTCGGTGCCTATAAGAGATATCAAAAATCTGTCAACTAACAAAATGTTGGTGATGGTATGATAAACAATTCATCAGTTGACAAACTTTTGGTATCTTCGACAGAAATCAAGATAATTGAGCTCGAAGTTGACAGTTTGGGTGGGCTTCTATTGGGGGCAAACTTCTATGTCCTAGAAATAGCCTAGAAATTTTTAAATCGAGAATGTTAGGACAGGTGGAAAATAGAGTAGCTAGAAATATGATTTTAAAAACTTGAATTTTAGAAAAATTCAGAAACTTTGGAAGTTAAAAAAATCGAAATCGCGATTTTCAAAGAATTGAATTTTTGAAAAAAAAAGACGAAATTTTTAAAAAGTTTTTGGCTTACTCGAGTTTTTTGGATTTCTCGGACATCTGAATTTTCGAATGATTTGAAAATAAAAACCCAGAATAAGAAACTCAGCTCCCTAAAAATGTCATAGATCCGGATCCCGAAAAAGGAAATGGACCCAAAAACAAAAAACGGGGAAAATATTGGGGGAAACGAAAAAAATGAATGAAATCGAATTGTTTTCTATTTTCAGAGACACAGAGGTTTCAGCCAAAATGAATCGAAAAGGAGGTCCGCGCCTCAATGGCTTCTATTTTCCAAATGAATATTTAAAATTTTTACTTGTTTTCTTTTTTTGAATTTTGAATTTCTTGTGTTCTGGGACTAAAAAATAGACTGAAAAATAAAGAAAGCTTTAGGTTGGTAATTTAATTTGAACTTTAAAAAAAATTTCGGAAATTCTCCCCTATAGGTCTTCAAAGAACACTTTGGACATTTTTGGCAAATTTTGGATTCCTAGGCCATATTTGGGTTTTTAGGCCACTATTTAGTTTTAGGTCGTTTTTAAGGTTTTCGGCCATTTTTGTTATTTTTGGTCATTTTTGGGTTTCTAGGCCACACTTGGGTACTTATGCTGCTTCTAAGCTATTTTAGGGTTTTTCGGCCACTTTTAGGTTTCTAAGCCAGTTTCAGATTTCTAGGCCATTTTTGGGTTTCTAGGCCACTTATGGATTTCTAGACCATTTTTGGATTTCTAGACTAATTTTGAATTTTCTGTCACTTTTCTAGGTCACTGTAAAAAACCTATGAAAATTTGGAAAAAAGGTATCCCAGCTAGCCAAAAAAAAAGCGGAAATATGTCATAGACCTTTTTCTCAAAAAAAAAAGAAACGCAAAAAAAATTTTCCAGTCATCCGAAACATGTAGCAATGGGAATAAAACGTGGTGTATATGAGATGAAGTGGGTTGTTCAGTGGAGAAGAAGAAGAAGAAAAAAGTGTGAAAAAAAGAAGAAATATAAAAATGTAGATATACCCAAGAAACACCGGAAATACATTTGATTTGGGACCATAAAATTGGTGGAGCAAGAGAAAGAGTGTTTTTGGGGGAAAATGAAAAAAAATGAAGAAGAAAATGTGAGAAAAAAGGTTTTTAGATATTTGAGGTTGGGACAGAAATGGGGAATCGGAAGTTTTGAAGAAACTATTTTTGAATTTCTTCCGCAATTTTTCAGAATCTTAGGATCTAAGAATCTTAGAATTTTAGAATTTCAGGATTTTAGAATTTCAGAATTTTAGAAATTCGGAATTTTAGAATTTTAGAATTTTAGAATTTCAGAATTTCAGAATTTTAGAATTTCAGAATTTTAGAATTTTTAGAAAATTTTAGAACTCTTCTTCCAAAAAAGGTTCCAAATGGTGGAGACATCTCCAGTTCCCAGAGCAAAAAAAAACGTCAAATCTACATACTCATTTTTTTTCGAAAATATAGAGATGTGAAAACACAATGTTTATGTTCTTTTCTCCCATTTTTCCACTTTTTCAGACACATTTTTTTGACGGAAAAAAAAGAAGAAGAAGAACGGGAAAAAATTCAGAACAGATAGAATTCTATATGGAAGCTATAGAATTCGTGTGGTCCCAAAAAAGGAATTTTTTGTTTTTTGACTCTTTTTTTGGGACGGATATCTGATTTGCAATTATTTTCTGGCCAGCTAGGCAGACGAATTTTTTGGAAATCTTTTGAAAAATTTCAGAAATTTGTGGATTTCGAGAATTTTGAAAATTTTGAAAAATATTTATAAACACGAATTTTCAGAATTTTAGACTTTTTGAATCTATCAATTTTCAAAACACCACAAGACCTGTATTAGAAGGGCCGGCCCTTCTTTTGTTTCATCGTACCTCCGGAGGGCCTTTCTATTACAGGAGCCCTTCAATTAGAGGGGGCTTTTCTATTTTTCCGAAATTTTTCATCGAAAGATTCGACTAAGTTCCGTTCAAAATTCATGAAAATCTGTCCATTTCACCAAAATTTAGCAAGATATTCATTGAAAAATAGAGTTTCAACAAATTTCTATCAAATTGTGGATTTCCCGGAATATTTTTTTTTTGGGCCCTTCTAATACAGGTTTTTCGATATCAGAATTTCAGAATTCAGAATTTCAGAGACTCAGAAAAACAGATATTCGGAATTTCAAAATTCGGAAGTTAAGCTCAGCTCAGAACGTCAGAAATTGATAATTTCAGAACTTCTCAATCTTGAAAAGTTCGAAAATTTAAATACAAGAAATTTAGAAATTCAGAATCAAAAATTCGGAGATTTATAAATTCAGTGAAAAGTTCAAAAACCTAGAAATTCAAAATGTTCGGAAAAAATCAATTCTGATGTCTAAGATGTGATTTCATATTCAATATCTGACCAGATAAACAAAAATCTGAAATTAGCTAGCCAACCGAAAATTTTGACGTAAGTTCTGAAGAATTTTTTCTAGAGATCTTCCAAAAAACTTTTTGAAATTTCAGACAATGTTTTGGGCGAACTTTAAGAAATTCCCTCGAATTTTACTTTTTTCCGAGAAATTTCTAAGATGGTGCGTCACGAAAAAACCCAGATGCATGTATCCGTTAAATCATGCAGAAAAGATTTTTCACCTAAAATTTTCAATTCGTTAAACTTTCAAAAATCTTTCACTAGTATGTCTCAAAGTATGCCTCAAAAACTACGAAAAATCCAGAAAATTTTGGAGTGCTGACCCTTGGGCTCATTTTCTTCTTCTTTGCTCTTTTTAGGCTCCGCCCACTTTCTTTCCCCTTCTGTCAGCTGCAAACGAAAAGGCAGTGAAGCGATAGAGGATGTTGAATTTCCGTTCGACATTTTTTCAAATAGGAAAATGAGAAATTGGGAGAATTGGGGTTTGGGTTAGGGGTCAGCAGCGAAATGGAGTCTTACTCTTGATTTTCGGGGTTTTTAGAAAAAAACAGTTTTGAGAACGAAACTTTAAATTTTCAGTTTTTAGAAAATTTTCAGTAATTTGAAAAGTATTATTCCTCTTTATCTTTTTAAATTTACGAATTTTCCAGAATCTGAAACAGAATATATAAAAACTCGCTTCATTTTTCAGAAATTCAAAAGTTTTTTAGAGGACGTCTGGACTGACAGATCGACAGATTGACAGGAACCACCGTTCTGGAAAATTCTGAAATCTCAAAAAAAGAAACATTTGAGTTTTCAGAAAAATTTGCAAATCGGAAAACTCGGAATGTTGAAATTTCAGAATATCACAACTCCACAAATTTGAATAATCGAATATTAAACTTTTTGAACTTTCCAAATTATAAAATTTCGAAATCTTAGAGACTCATAAACTTGGTGTTTCAGAATTTCAGAATCTCAGGAACTCAGAATCTCAGGATCTTACAGACTTAGAATCTCAGAATCTCAGAATATCAAAATCTCAGAATATCAAAATCTCAGAATATCAAAATCTCAGAATCTCAGAATCACAGAATCTCAGAATCTCAGAATTTCAGAATCTCAGAATCTCAGAATCTCAGAATCTCAGAATCTCAGAATCTCAGAATCTCAGAATCTCAGAATCTCAGAATCTCAGAATCTCAGAATCTCAGAATCTCAGAATCTCAGAATCTCAGAATCTCAGAATCTCAGAATTTCAGAATTTCAGAATTTCAGAATTTCAGAATTTCTGATTTTCAGATTTTCAGAATTTTAGAATTTCAGAATTTCAGAATCTCAGAATTTCTGAATTTCTGAATTTCAGGACTTCAAAAATGCAGACTTTTAACATTCAGATGCTAGACAAATGCAAAAATATAAATCTCAAAAACCAAAAACGCTAGACAAGATTTTTTTCCAAAATAGAACTTGAAAAAAGTCCCTAAAGACTACTAGGATTACAACAATTTCTGATGAAATTTGTTTTTTGTACTATTTTTTCAGCAACATTTGAGAACATTTTCGGATTCGATGAATTTTCCAGACCACCATTGAGAACCTTCTGCTGTTTGATGCTGCCCCAAAAGTCCGCCGCCATTTCTCATTTTCTGGCTCCCCTCCCATTTTTAATTGTATTGCCCATCCGCTTTTTTCGCTTTCCTAGAAGTTCCCCCTTTCATTCATTGTCCTAAAAAAGCAATTGGTCCAATGGGAGTCGTCAGAAAATGTGTTGAGAACAATTTTATTGGTTTTGGTCGGACGGAATGGAATGGAAATGAAAGGAAAAGTGTTCCAAGAAATCATATGGGCAGTGGAATGACGGATTCAAAGCGCTTTTGAGTTTAATCTTGCCGACTGCAGTGTATTCAGAACCGTCTTGACCTGCTGATTCTAAAAATAGAAATTTCAGCTAGATAGCGTTGAAACTAGCCGAGGTACGAAGGTTTTTATAAACTGACAGTGAGACAGGAAATTACAGTTTTCCCTCTAGAGCCTCCACGTGTCTCTCCCCCTTCACCTTCCCCTCCCCCTTTATATATGCAAAGAGATTTTTGTAAAACTGCCGGCTGTCGTGGCGGGCGCCTGTTAGTCAGCTTTTTGACGGTGGCATCACCCGGGCGAGGAAAGGGAAAAGTCCAGTGGGTTCTCGCCCACATCCCTGAACCAATGACGCCGGCCTTTCTTTTTTTTAAATATTCGATTGGAACTTCTCGATTGGAGCTAGTTTTTGTATTTCATCACTATTACCAAAGTCAGAAACCATGAGGTTTATCTTGTTATCGTCTTTGAGTAACACTATTTTATTCTATGAAATTCTTCTAAAAATTGGCAACAGTTTTCTCTTTTGTAGAAATTTGAATAATCAATGTTGTTTGGGGGCAATATCATTTCCTAACATTGTTGATCAGCAATGAAATTGTTTATTTTCAATTCAAAAAAGTTTCGACATTTACAAAAAATAATTGTTTCGAGAATCGTCTTAAGCACTGACTGGTCTGTTGTTCACCAAAGATGGAGCTGGAGCATTTTCATTTCCAGCATTAGCCTTGTTCTTATTGGATCCCCATGCCCAGACAGATGGATAAGCAGCAGCAGTAAGATATGGAGAATAGACAGATGGATAGGCATATGCAGATGGATAATAGGCTGCTGAATAGGCTGGAACAACCACTTGCTGATGAGAGAATCCAATCATCATGGAGCAGAGAACGACGGCGACGATGCTGGAAAAATTGATAAAGATTATCGGTTTTGATTACTGTAAGACTTACCATTTAGCGAACATATTGAAATGGAGTAGTGACTTGGAAGTGTCCTTTGTCAGAATGTTCCGAACTTTTATACTCTCCCAGACTGTCAACGAAATAACCTGTATAATTGGTTGCGAAGAAAAAACTTGGCACATACTAAAGTTTCTTTTGTGATTGGAAAGTGTTCTCACGGGTGCAAATACGAATGTTCTTTTTTGATCTCTAGTGAGCAGTAGTACTCTGATCTCTGAGTTCGGGAGTAGTTGGCAAGCAGAAAACTTCCTATATGGACAACCGTTTCTTTATAGAGAACTTCCGATGTAGCGGTTTCAAAGCTTATAGGTAGGTATTCTAAATTCATCTCACTGTAGCATGATCTCATAAAATCACTCGCCTAAATTCAACATTCCAATGTTTGTTTAATTTTTTTGCACCGTTCCACCGAACTTTGCAACTTCCAGGCGTTCTATGTGCAAACAGAACAAACGAAACTACAGTAACCAATAGAACTAGTCTACTTTGTTCTGTGTTCTGTTCCGATGGGTATAAAATCTGAAAACTGTGGGATGGAGGATACTTCCAAGTCACTACTCCCATTCAATATGTTCGCTAAGTGGTAAGAGTTACAGTAACCAATTTCATAAGCATTTTCCAAAATTTCCAGCATCATTGCCCTCGTTCTCTGCTCCATGATGATTGGATTCTCTCATCAGCAAGTGGTTGTTCCAGCCTATTCAGCAGCCTATTATCCATCTGCATATGCCTACCCATCTGTCTATTCTCCATATCTTACTGCTGCTGCTTATCCATCTGTCTGGGCGTGGGGATCCAATAAGAATAAGGCCAATGCTGGAAATGAGAACGCACCAGCTCCTTCTTTGGTGAACAACAAACCTTTCAGTGCTTAAGGAAATTACTCGAAACGATCATTTTTGTAAATTTCAAAAAATTTTTTGAATTAAAAATAAATACATTTTCTTGCCAATCATACTCTTTTGATGGTTTCGCTCTTGTCCACAAATCTGCAGAAAATATTTAAAGTTCTACAATTACAACAATTCCAAGACGCAAATTGTAACTGTTGCGTTGCGGTCAACATCAAGAAAATCTCCAAAACTCAAAATTGTGTCGTTCAAACTTTGATTTTTGCACATTTTTGAGAAAATTGTTCCGTAACTTTCAAAAATTTTGCCTCTGATTGAAGAGCCCCTCGCGAGAGAAACCTTGGAATAAAAGGAAAGTCGCCGCTTTCAATACAGGTTATACGGTACACGCTCTCCCACAGAACATTTCCGAACTGCAAATTAATTTTTGATCTACAGAAAAAAGTTTGGCGCGATCACAATTGCAGGTCTAAAATCATAATTTCAGAATTTTTTATCTGATTTTGTGGAGTTCCAAAATGATTCAAATGATTCTTAAAAAATTAATTAGTGGTTATATATTCATGTATGGTCGTTTTCCGGAAGAAAAAATGTCAAAAATGGTCATTTTTTAAAGTTTTTTACAGAAAAAATCTATCTCCTCTTTCAGTTTTTGACATTTCTAGGAGTTCTATAGCTCAAAAAAACCGCAATTATTTTCTCTACATTTTCTATAGATGAATTTTTAATTCGTCTGATAAAATTTTTTTATAATTCAAAAACCTCATGAAATTGCACAAAATCGCATTTTTGCGTTGTTTTTTGATTATAAAAAAGTTTTATCAGACGAATTAAAAATTCATCTATGAAAAATGTAGAGAAAATAATTGCGTTTTTTGAGCTATAGAACTCCTAGAAATGTCAAAAACTGAAAGAGGAGATAGATTTTTTCTGTTAATTTTTAAAGAATCATTTGAATCATCTTGGAACTCCACAAAATCAGATAAAAAATTCTGAAATTATGGTTTGATTTTTTTTTTCGATTCTAAAAGGTTTCGAAGTTTTTACACAGGTTAAATGCGAACGGATCCGTTTCGGTGTTCTCTAGGTTTTCTATCCGTTACGGGTCCGTTACGGACAGTTTCGCGAATCTGAGTTCGCGAACGTATCCGTTTGTTCATCATTCGCAATTGGATCGGATACGGAGTTCGCGCACGGATAGAATACGGAGGAATACGAAATAATGTGCTGTGGTTTTCTGAAAACGGGTCGCGTGCGGTCCGTATGCGGTTCCTATTTCAACCCCGCGCGAACGCTGAGCGTCCGTAACGGATTGTTCGCGAATCACCTGTATAATAGAGTAATTGTTTTTTTTTCAGAAAACCAGGATATTTTCAACCTGTAATCAGATTCTGACTCCCTGTTGAACTTTGACAATCTTCTGACAATAGAATTCCAACCATTCGTAGAAGGATTTTTGGAACAAAAACAAAAAGAAGGAGTTGATTGGCAAGAAAATGAGTTTATTTTCAGTTCAAAAAAGTTTCGAAATTTACAAAAAAAATTCGTTTCGAGTAACTTCTTATGCACTGACAGGTCTGTTGTTCACTAAAGATGAAGCTGGTGCATTCTCATTTCCAGCATTAGCCTTATTCTTATTGGATCCCCATGCCCAGACCGATGGATAAGCAGCAGCAGTAAGATATGGAGAATAGACAGATGGATAGGCATATGCAGATGGATAATAGGCTGCTGAATAGGCTGGAACAACCACTTGCTGATGAGAGAATCCAATCATCATGAAGCAGAGAGCGAGGGCGACGATGCTGGAAATTTTAAAAGATTTTGGTGAAATTGGTTACTGTAACCCTTACCACTTAGCGAACATATTGAATTGGAGTAGTGACTTGGAAGTGAATTTGACTGTGAACAATTTTACTTTTATACTATGCCTACTAGTCCAGTTTAGCAGATTTAGCAACTGTTAACTTGTTGATCATTGGTTTTGTTTGCTTGTACCCTGCGAGTACGCGGCACAGTCTGTGGCACAAAAAGAGAACGTCAAATATTTGTTTGCGTATTCTATAATCATGCAAAAAAGTTGTGAAAACGGTGCTACTGGAACAAATATAGAAGCTTGACTAGTTGCTCGGGCTTTATGTCTTGGTTTCGGGAAGTATAAAAGTATAAAACATTTTGGAAGAGGACACTTCCAAGTCACTACTCAAATTCAACATGTTCGCTAAGTGGTAAGTATTACAGTAACCAATTTCACAATAATTTTCATAAAATTTTCAGCATCGTCGCCTTCGTCCTCTGCTCCATGATGATTGGATTCTCTCATCAACAAGTGGTTGTTCCAGCCTATTCAGCAGCCTATTATCCATCTGCATATGCCTATCCATCTGTCTATTCTCCATATCTTACTGCTGCTGCTTATCCATCTGTCTGGGCATGGGGATCCAATAAGAATAAGGATAATGCTGGAAATAAGAACGCACAAGCTCCATCATTGGTGAACAACAGACCAGTCAGTGCTTAGGAAGATTCTCGAAACCATAATTTTTTTTGTAAATTTCGAAGCTATTTCAATTGAAAATAAATACTTTTTTCTTGCGAATCAACTGTATTCATAAATACATTCATTAAAAATCTATATCATGCATTCATAATCAAAAGACAAAGTTTTCTGCAGACAAGACAAATGCGCTCGGTTCGACAGTAATGGTTTTCAGTTCAGTGGCGGGTGAACGCACCACACATGTGTTGACGGGAAGATGATGCTGAAATTCAGTTAAGAAGTTGAAATTCAATTTTACTAGAGTAACGGTGCACTCTATTATTTTAGTCTGAAAATTGTTTTTAAACCGTTCAAAAACTTAACACCAACCGTGAGAAATTAGTACAGAAATCACTTTAAGAGACCACAACTTTTATGTGAAGAACAAGATACAAATAGTAATAATAGCACTGTAATCAGCATGTTTGAAAGTACCAATGACCCAAATTTCAGAAAATTATCAACCCTTTTCTGAAGGTGAACAACAGACCAGTCAGCGCATAAGAAGTTGCTCGAAACGAATTTATGTAAATTTCGAAATTTGCTTTCAACGGAAAATAAAAGATTTTCTTGAGAACCCGCATTCATTTTATTTATGCATTCATAATCAGATGTACGTCTAGATCTATTCTTATTTTTCCGAGTTCGAAATCGTCTGAAGTGCCCGGAATGAAACACAGTTAGTTTCGATATACCGTAAAACCTGTAATAGAAGGGCCTCCTAACTTTCAACTTTGAGCCAATTTCTCTCGGTTTCTGTTAAAGATATAAGAAAGTTGATAATTAACCAAATGTTCACTTTTGTATCACTAACATTTTGTCAGTTGACCACATTTTGATATCTCTCATAGGAATCGAGATAATTAAGCTCAAACTTTACAGTGTGGGGGCCCTTCTATTACAGGTTTTACGGTACAATGAGGGGTTCAAAAAACACATCTATAAAATCTGGAGTCAACTGTGTTTTTCCTGAAATTCAATTTGAAACTCAGTTGTAAGATACAGTAAAGCCAGGAGGTTGAGCCGAGGCGTGAATCGGAGGCCAAAAATAAGGTGTTTGAAAGAAATATACCCAGAAATTTTCAATTTGCAACTGATAAGACATATTGTGCAAGCAAAGTGGGTCGGAATAGTATTTAAGAGAAGGTCAGAAAATGATATCAGTTTTTTTTTCTTTTCATTACTTCCTCTTGTCGTTTCCGAAAAAAGGTACCTCATGTTTTCTACTTTTTTTCAGTAATGATTCTTGTCAAGCTGACCGTACCATTTTTTCTTTTCGCTGTTGCCGCCGAATCCCGCAATATCACCATCTACAACAGATGTCCATTCACCATTTGGCCAGGAATCCTTGGACCCGGAAATCCAGCTGGAGGAGGTTTCAAGTTGGATGCAGGGCAATCCAGAAACATTAACGTAGATGATGCCTGGACCGCTGGAATCATTTGGGCAAGAACTACATGTGATGGAAACTTCAACTGCGAGACTGGATTCTGCAGAGTAAGTAGTGTATCCTCTCGACACGGTTTCGAGAAATTTTTCGAGGAACTTTTCGGAAATCTCCTCAAAAGGCAATTAGAAATGCACACCGTCAGAACTAACAAGAAGTTTTCAGAATTCTGAGCAATGTAATGGAGCAGGAGGAGTCCCACCAGCATCTCTTGCTGAATTCACTTTGAAGTCGTGGGGAGGACCAGACTTGTATGACGTTTCTCTTGAGGACGGATACAACATCCCCGTTCTGATTGAGCCACATGGTGGATCTGGATGTAAACGTGCCGGTGGGTGTGTCAAGGATATCAATTCTGAATGCCCAGAAGCGCTCTCCGTGAAGGGACACAACGGATACACAGTAGCCTGTAAATCTGGATGTCTGGGATACAACACCGACCAAGAATGCTGTCGTGGAGCTTATGGAACTCCAGAAAAATGTCATCGTTCGGCCACTGATCAGATGTTCAAGGATGCCTGTCCAACTGTGTATACCTACCGCTTCGATGATCCATCGTCTACATTTACATGCCAATCAAAAGCATCTTACACCGTTCAGTTCTGTTAGACTTACCCTTTTTGGTATGTATATTTTATTTTATATAATTTTTAAGTTTTGTTAATGGTAATAGAAAAACTGTATCATTGATTTTTTCAGTGCGAAATCACCTGGTTCGAAGAGCATGAGAAATGTCCAGCATGCAATGGAGATCTTCCGAAACCCTGAATTCATGAGTCATCCAGAATCCGATTTGTTAACTTTGTTTTCTTGTTATCACTGTTCTTATGTGTTCAGTCTTCGAATTGAATGAAAAAAAGGAAAATTTAAACTATATGCTTGTTCTGAAAAGTCTGAAATTCAACTGTTTATGCCCCCAGAACTGAAATTCCATCGAGGGAACAGAGGAAGAAACCTAAACAGCCGAATTTTTCGAAAAACAATTGGAAAATCTATAAAATCTCGAGTTAACGGTGTTTTTTATTCCGTTTTTTAGCAGATTTCGGTACTTTAGACTCGACTTTACAACAAAGTTTTCAAAAAATGACAAGTGGTCTGAAGGTATCAGAGAGGCTGTGGGCGAGCGACAACTCACAAGCGCTATCCGGCCACTGCACCGCGCGGTGGCTTTTGCCTGCTGCCTTTCGGCCCTGAGCCGTGCACCACTCCTTATGCGCCCGGGACCGCCAGCCTTCCGACCGGAGACCCCTGGCGACGCAGCGCTTGGCACGGACGCTCGGTCGCCGTTGCCGACAACACCCACAGGACTCCTCCCTTCACTCCATCCACACTTGTCTACCGTCAAGAAGCTGACTCACAGGCGCCCGCCACGACACCCGGTGGTTTTACAAAAATTATTTGCGTATATGAAAGATAGGGAGAGGAAGACACGCGGAGAGAGGAGAGAAAAAGAAACGGCCGTTTTCCGTGTGTAAACCGACTATATGGGAAAGATGTGTGTCTGATATAAACGACCAGAACTCGGTCAGTTTTGATGCTATTTTTATGAAAATTACTGCATTCGAATCAGCGTTTCAAGAGGGTTTATCAAATTTAAAATAACAAAAAAACCAAAAAACACAGGGGAAAACATAGAAGACTTTTTAGGGTCAAAGAATGAGAGATACTTGCAGAAGGTTAAAAAATGGGACAAAGTGGGAAAATGGGACAAAGTGGGAAAAAGGAGGAGATGTACAAATGAAATAAAACATGAGTATTACTTTCAGGAAACAAGCATAATCAGGTGAGCGTCATCGACAAAAAGCTTCAAGAAAATTACGGCCAAAGTTCAGTCGTTTCGATAAAATTTGCAATCGTCAAACCAATCTATCCACTTTTCGCTATAATAATCATGTCTTTTTTTTAGTTCATCGACTGTCGTACGGTGGTATGGAATTCCTTTTAACACAACATTCACATCTGGAGCAGTTCTTGATGGGTATTTCATCCAAAGAACGGCAAGCCTTGGGTTCGATCCTTTTCTCCAAAGTTTTATGAATCGGTTAAGGTTGACTGAAGAAAAATTGAAACTTAGTCTGAATATAGACTGCTTAGAATTCAATTCTAAAAGATCCTCTAGATCGAAATGATTCAGTGGTGCGATGTCGAGAAAATCCCAGTTACGAAATCGAAAATTGTTGAGATAAATCGTATTGTTGAATGGGTTTTAATTTGTATACAAATATGTCGCGTTGGGCAGAAATTCTTCATAAACTCTCTGAGCATATTCCTTCTCTTCCCCATCTGCTTCCGGATCATGCATTACGATATAGAGACAAATTCTATTTGGGAGCAAACTGCGAATATCACCCAGATTAGCGACCGGTTGATTCGTGTGGAATTTCGCAACACTCATTTTGGCTGAATATTTAAAAAGCCGATAAAGATGATGAAACCATTCTATAAGCGTCTTCCCATTTAAAAGTTTCCGTTTAAAAGTTAGTCCATTTAAAGTTAGCCCATTAGTTTTAAAAGTTAGCCCATTTAAAAGTTTTCTCTGCTACTCCCAGGAAGCTAACTTCAACATTATCCGACGCTTTGCTTAAATTTCCTTCTTGATCCAAATCGAAACGAAATTGTACTTTCGTGTCTGTTGCAGGAACTGTATGTACAGTCAAAATCAACGAGCCGGTAAATTCCATCACTAACTATAAGCATTGAACAAGCACATGTAAAGATTTGACTTGTTTTGCGGCTTTCTTAGAAGCGAAAGAGTAGCAGATTCTGGAAAGACAAGAATATAATAAGAGGAGAAGCACATTGGATACTTACAATTCGAGCCGATCCATAGATTTCAATGCAAGATCAATGATTTCTGGCGGTAGATTGAGCAACGGGAACTTGGAGTTGGCCATTACTGCAGAGATTTCAGACTGCAAAAGGATTAGAAGAATAAAAGAAAAATACGCGAATAGAGAACAACGAACAATCGATTGTTGGGCCTTGACAGGAGTCATGACAAAAGTGTCCTGTGGGAAAGGTCCTGTGATACATCTGCTAATTGACACTGTCTCCCAATTGCCACGTCATCAGGTTAATTGCCTTGTCTTCGATTGGTACGATGCAGACAACGGCATTCTATTTGAGAGTATTGTCTATTCAAAATAATCGCGCGGATGAACGAGTGAAAAAACGTGTAGAGAGTCTCCAAACCTGTAAAGGCGCTGTAGAGACGCAGACATTCAGACTCGTTCACTCGCGCGATTATTTTGAATAGGCAATAACTATTAAAGATTAAGTGGCCTACTGCCAACCTGTGGCAGAAGGACCCGCACACTGTCAAGTTTGAGCTGATTTTTCAAACTTTCCTCCTGGGGAAACGGAATGACAAACAAAGAACAAATCAGACATAACTCCATTTATAAATTATAAGAACGACTCTCAGTGAAAGATTAAAAACGTCGTCCTATCTTCTCGACAGATCCACCCATAACCTTCTCTGTGAATTCTCGAAGATACATAGGATTCGATTTTGGTTCCTGAAATCACAAATTTATTATTAGGATTCCTTCAAAACTCTCACTATAAGCTCAGCTTCATGTATAATAATCGACTCGGTAGTTCCGCCGGTTTCTCCACTTCTCACACTCATAATCTTTCCGCTTCTTTTTTTGAATTTCCGGCAGTTCGGATTCGTTATGAATCGAGGAGACGTTCTTCATAGTGTCATCTGGTGTCGGGTTCATGGACTGGAAAATGTAACTTATTGGAGTTTAAGGAAGTCAGAGTGATTCGAACCTCTGATCTTTCCAAACTTTTCTCCATCAACTCAGCCAGTTGCTTCTGATGAGCCACTTCTCTTGCCTGCTTTTTCACAGCCTCCTTTTTCATTTCTGGAATGAAACACTTTGATAGTAACCTTCAAAAACTACAATAATCTTCAAAAAGTACTGTAATATTCTGAACTACAGTAATTTTCCAAGACTACAGTACGCTTCCAAACTACAGTAATATTAAAAATATAAAAGGAAATAATACCTGCGTCCGGATCATGATCCACCAATTGAACTTCTCCCAATTCTTCATCACTGCTTCCTTTGATTTCTTCTTTTGATTCTTTCGTTTTGTCATCTTCAAGAGGTTGCGTTTTCTGGAAGTTTTGTAACTTTAAAAAACGGAAATATCAACAAGCTGTCAACTGAAAAAATGTTAAACAAGACATCAGTAACATTTTGTTAGTTGACCACTTTTTGGTACCTCTTGTAGGAATCAAGATGAATCGACTCGAAGTAGACCCCCAGGGAACTTCGCTAGTTTAGGCTAAAATAAGTCCTTCTAACTTTGAGCCTAATTTTTCTCAATTTCTCTGAGTGGTATCAAAAAGTAGTCAACTAAAACAATGTTTATCATAATATCAAAAATATGTTATCAGTTGACAACTTTTTGATATCTTCTGCAGAAACCCGAGATAAATTGTATCAAATTTAGAGGAACATCAGATTTTGCCGCATTTGAAAATTGTCGAGTTTCATATTTCAGAAATTGGGGTTTTTACAAAAAAAATTCTGAACCTACATTCATTTTCAAATCAGTTTTTTCCGGCATCATAAACTCCAAGGAATCCGTCGAGTGTGTAGTCGGTTGAGTTTTATCTTCAGGGAGCTGAAATTTTTTCTAGATTATGCTCCTCCTTTGTATTTTCTCACCAGTTCTGTCTCTTTCTTTTTCTCCACCATTGGTCCCTTAACACTTTCTTTGGATCCTTCTTTTGATCCCAATTTCGCCTTATTCAACTGCTTTTCCCTCTTCTTCCTCATCCTCTCCCGATTTTCAACAATTTTAGCTTTCCGTTCCTCATAGAGAAGTTTCTGATCCTTTTCATAACTAACAGGCGGTACTTTTTTAGTCAGCGTATTTTTGGAACCCGTGGCTGAAAGATTATTACCTAGATTTCAGAGAAAAATTAAAATTTCACCATTCGCGCCTTTTTTCTTGGCCTCCAAACAATTGATAGTGAGAGCTAGTGAGATGATGATGACGTTGATGACATTGTATAGGATTAAAAGATACATTGGCAGTTTTAAAGAATGGAGATCCGGGAGCGAGGAGGAAAATTTTGTTAAATCGATTCGTGGAATTTTAAGATTTTTCGTGGAATTTTGGTATAGAGATCTAGAAAGCTTGTGACATATTTTTCAAGACTCTAAATTTTAAAATTTTAATATGGTGGCCTAACTTCTGAGTTTTCTAGGCCACAATGATAAATGACCTAGAAGTGGCCTAACATGCCCTGATGTGTTTTTCTAGGTCATTTCGAAGTGGTGGCCTAACCTTGCAAGTTTAGTTCTCTATGCCGCCATGGTCCATGGTGGTCTAGAAAGCACATTAGTGGGATTTCCAGGCCATCATCTTTGGTTGCCTAGAAAATTCAATTTGACAGAATTAGGCCACCAGGAACCTGGTGTACAGAAAGTACTATGACACTCCGAATTAACTAACTACGTCCAGTTTAACGTTCGAACGAAATACATATTATCAGCAGACAAAACTCATTTTCACATGCCCCTATATAATTTATTGGTATCAGAAAAACACATCGAATTCTGATGAAAATGAAATTCTGAAAAATACTCTCGTGTTTACGGCAGAATATTTAATCATATATTCCAGACAAGGGACATGTGTCTGGAAATGAAAAAAAAGTGTACTAAAAGTTTTTTAAGAAGAAAAGAATGAATTCTGAAAATCTTGAGTAGACGACGGTAGCTTTTATGACTTTTTGGCACCGCTACCGGCTCAGCTACACGGTCGCATTTCGATGGAGGGGTACGGTACACACATCCAAACTCACCACGAGATTCTGATCCTTCTGATCCTATGTTCGTATTTGTCATCCATGTTCTTTTTCTGGAAACTTAGTCAATTTTTTGGGCCTGTCTGTGTTCCCAAATGATTCTTGTGTTCTGGTTTGTGATTTTTGATTTTGTCTGAAATTCTGAAAATGACAAAAAGGCGAAAAAGGCACTACCGGAAAAACAAGAAGTTCCGCCTGACAATGTCGAATAGGTCGAGAAGCAGAAAAACAATTATTTGAACTTTGAATTCGCGCCAAACCTGATTTGAATTTTAGAGGTTTAAAGGAGGGGAGACAAGAGGGTATGCATTCTGACGTGACGGTGTATCTTCCCCGCCACCGTAGCTCACTACTGTAGCCCACCGTAGCTGAGCTGGTAGCAATGCGGCACCTCCAACGTTGGGCCTACAAGTTCCATTCTTCGAGGGGCTTATTTGAACAAAATCAATAGATACATATTCTTCTCGATTCCCACACATTTAAGACATTCTAGAAATTTCCAAATCTGTGATGCTGAACGCTTGGAAATCTTTGTACCCAGAAAAAAGAATCGAATTGTTTTTTTGCCAGAAATCTCACGAGCTTGTTTATTTTTGGTGTTTCTCACATGATAAGTCACCTATCTCTCATTAGACGCTCGATTTGGAAATGTCTGGAATTCTAGAAGTTTCCATACAGAGATCGGGAAGATATTACTCTACTTTAATTACATCTACTCTAATTCTTCAATCCAAAGACTCGGCAACATACCCACAATAAGCCCAATCTGCTGTTGAGATGTCTGATAACCGCCTCTGATCAAACTGCTGATTTCCGTCGCACCGCTTTTGCCCCAAATCATGCCAAAGTCTTGCCCTGTAAGACCATCACCGATTATTCTAGACCTTCCATTCTGAATATCTATTTCCATCCTAGACCTTCCACTTCCCACGCTCTATATTCGTTTACCCAATGTGACGTAAAATCAGCACTAACTCTGAGAATCCGATTACCTTCCGCCTCCTGTTATTCCCGAAAATTATGTTCCTGATCAGAAATCATAAGAGAACTAACGACGTTGATCTTTTCTCTCCCTTCTAAATTATACCTCAACTTGTTTTCAGAATTATACGAAAACAGACATGTGCATTTGGAATGCACCTGGTTGTCACAAGAAGTCGTTGTTTTTGTCTTGTCTCCCTGAGTGACTAGGCTCCGCCCATCGAGCTCTGCGAGCCCATTTTTCATTCTTTCAGATTCTGAAAGTCAGACTCGAACTAACAAGATGAGTGACAATTTTGAAGTAGTGACCAGGGTCATCACATTCTTCTTTCCCTATGATTCGAAAGTGGAAGGTGAGCGAGGGATCCAAGAATCATTTTTTTTAATATAGGAAGTTTCAGAATACCAAAACGAAGACTGGTACCCGGGAGATCCTCGTGACTACTCGCAGGGTCATCCAAATGGTCATGAAATGTGGGGACACGGGCAGATTGGGTGGTGGCAGAAGGATAACGATGGATGGCATTGGCATTGGGATGATGCGGAGAATTTGGGTGGAGTCACTGGGTCATCAGGCGTGGTTTCAACTACCATAAGATCGCCAATGGCAACGGTTAGTTGGACTTTAAGGTTTCCGTTCGTGAGGGGTTTAGTTCATGATTTTGGCTTATAATAGGATTAAAATTTGACAAAAATCTGTAAAAAAAAGCCAAGTTTGTAGCACATCTAAGAGCCGAGATACAGCGCCTTGAAATTTTGAAGAGACGCAGACAGTTAGAGTGTCTCGTTGTCTGCGTCTCTCACCTCCAAATTTCGAAATCACTGTATCTCTCTTTCTGGATGAGATAGAATGATGATTTTCGCACCAAATCGATTTGAGGAAGCTAGAAATTCAGGAGTTAAAGGTGGGGGGACATGAAAAAAATAATGTTCTCGAAATTCCTTTTAAATATGCCCCTCGAGGAGTTGAACTTGTGAGGGCGATGATTGAGGGTGCGGCGCCGCTACCGACTGAGCCACGCGGGCAAAGAGAAAGCGCACGCCCGATTGCATACATAAAGGCGAGGACGACAGCTGTACGCAGAGTGACATTAAGCGTTGTACACCGTCACGGTAGAATGCATACTCTAGCTACAAAAAAACTACGAAAAATCTCCTGTCCCCCCACCTTTAATCAAATTTAGAGATTCTGGAATTTTCGATATTTCGAAATAATCAATTTTTAAGACCTCCTCCTCTTCCTCATCTGACTCGATGGAAACCTACAGCGACACGCTGCTCTCTGTGGTCCTTGCCTTCTACGCTCTGCTCCTTTTAATTGCATTCGCCTCCAATATCCTTCTTGCAAACGTGATTAAAAAGTATCGCTGGGTTGGTTCGATGATTTCTTGTTGTTTGCTGACTAATATGTCGAATTTCAGGGAATGAAAATGGCGCTGCTCTTTCATCTATGCGTGACTGGTGCTCTGTTGTGTGTGACCAACTCGTTGCACCTGCTCGCCAGTGGATATCATTTGTTGAAGAGGCAGAAGGTAAGAGGCAGGTGATAAGTATACGGTTTTGCAGGAATTGATTAGGGTCTCGTGGAAGTCTGAAAGTCTGTTTTTTTAAAAACTTCCAGAAGCCTCTAGAACTCTCCAGTACTGTTCTTGTTGGTCATTGAAATATTGTTTTTGTTATTTTTGGAAATCTTATGAAAAAAAATAAGCAAAAAGTTTGATCTCTGAATTGCTGACAAAAATACATAGTAATTAGTTTTTGCAAAACTCGGTATCAAAAGATTACTTGAGCGAAAACATCGTAAGGTGTTGAGGTTGCGGCCAGGTTGTGCAAATCTCGACCGCGGCCGACCGTGAATTAGGCCATGGGCCGTGGGCCAATCAGTCCGTTCTTCCGAGAAGAAGCTCAGATATCCAGAAACCCCTAGGATCGTTTGGCCGTCGTTTCCGACATATCACAGAAGTGTCATAAATCGCAAATGTACTAGGGGTGCGACTTTCTCAATATCTGAATATCTGAATTTTTGAATTTTGGAAATTTCTGGAATCTCCGAATTTTTCAATTTATTTTCAGGGTTTTTCGATTTTTCGATTATTTCGAATTTCAGAAGTTTTTGTATTTTTTGAAAATTTTGAAGTTACTGAACTTCTGAGTTTTTCGAAATTTTTAGATTTCGGAAACTTTCGCAAATTGTAATTTTCAAAAAATTTTCTAAATTTCTGAGTTTCAGAATTTCAGAATTTTCATAATTTTTTTTCGGAATTTCTGAATCGTTCGGAATATTTAAATTTTCAAAAATTTTCGAATTCTTGGGGTTTCAATTTCTAAGATTCAAATATTTCGTTATTTTTCGATTTTGAAATTTTTGGAATTTCTGAAAGTTCAGAATTATCCGATTTTTCGATGATTTCTCAGCTTTGACAATAAGAAAACTAGTTTCCAAGTGACTTCCGATTCCAAATTTCCATCTCCAGAACTCCTCCGTCGTCCTCCAAGCCTTTGCAATCATCGCCTGGATCGATCATCTCATCGGTTTCTCTCTACTCATCTTCGTCATGTACCTAGCCATCTTCTGTTTCAAATTCTACTGGAACAACAAGAATCGAAGTGTCGAATGGGGTCGTTCCTATGTTCTCTACGCCGTCATCTCCACTTGGATCATTGCTTTTCTCATTGCCGGATTCACTGCCTTCTTCCAATGCGATTCTCATATCAACACATCCAACCAATGCATCAATATCGTTTGTGCTGTCTCCAACATCTTCTCAGCAATCTTCACTGAGCTGTTGACCCGCGTCCGAATTGTGATTCCAATAATTATCATCCTCTGCATCTTGTTATCTGTTCGTGTTGGATCCTCAACTGTCCGGCGAGAGAGTATGGTGAAAGTGGAGGGTGCAGACATTCATGGAGACCGGGAACTATTGCTCATGTGTTCAATGGTTTTCGGAATCTACGAGGTTCGTGTGATGTGTCGTTTGCCGTATTCGGCCAATTTTTGCCAAAAAAACAAGCCAATTTAAAAACCAGGTGTTTTCTGAGAAAGCTGAAAAAAAGAAAAACAAGTCTGAAAAAACAAGAATTTCTTAGAATCAGTTTTTTTGTTCCTGCTAAAGAACTTCCAATTTTCCAGCTCTCCATAATGATACCCCAATTGCTCATCTTCTTCTGCATCTCGCCTCTTCTCTCCATTGCCGCGTGGCACTTCGGTGTCCTCCTCTCCACGCTCGCCACCCCCATCGCAGTGATCTCAATCAGTCGAAACACAAGAGATAGAATGTGGCTCTTGTACTCCTGTCAATCTGGAAAAGGAAGAAATGCACCACAAGGAAGTTATGCTCACACCGCGAAGAAATACCATGAGAGTGTGGAGAATGCGGAGAATACAAAACGACGGGCTTCAGCGATCTCGTTCTTCAGTCAGGAGTCTTCGTCGATCACTTCTTTAGATCCTCATCGGAAGTTGTCGATGATTGTTGAGGAGCCGGCGGGAAAGTTCGAGAAGCTGGAAGCAGCGCCGGAGGCTCAACATCATCATGTTCCGGAGCCTGTGTTTTCAAAAGCTCCAAAGCTTAAGAATGTTGTTAGGTTGGTCTTATAGGATTTACAGTAGAGGAGGCAAGAGATCTTTCGGATTTTATCTTTGGATTACGGTATGCATTTTATGCGCAGGGATCGATGACATCGGTCGGCGTCACCATACTTGTCGAAGAGCCGATTCCGAAGCTCATAGATTCCACAAACATTTCTTTATTTCAGAGTCCAATCCGCCGACCAAGCTGTCCGTAACTCAGTCGACTACGACTTGTCCAAACGCCGAATGTCCCACTATGACATGCCGCAAGTCGGCGATACAGATCGTCTAGCCAACATGGTTGCAGATAAAACGAAACGATTTAGTTTGGGAGGAGGACGCCCAACAGTCAATATGAACCTTCCTAATCACATTTTTGTACACCATATACATCATGAAAATAATAAGATTCGGCCAATGGTAATCGGTGCGAGTCCGATGATCAGTATGGTGGAGTAGTTTACTTTTGTTTGAATTTTGTAAATAAATATTTATTCAGTCTTGGTTTTTTTTACCTTGTCTGACCTAGAGTGATCCTGTTGAACCAGAAATAACATAACAAAAACAAGGTAGCGGAATTTTTAATCATTGTTTAATCATAGTTTTCGAGTTGGAGCACATTGTGTCTTGTGACTGTAGCTTGTAGTCAGCTAGATTAAAAACTACGGTCTAAAAACTAGGAAAATTTATTTATTTTCGGTTCAAAATTTACAAAAATTATCGTTTCGAGTAACTTCCTAAGCATTGACTGGTCTGTTGTTCACCAAAGATGGAGTTGGAGCATTCTCATTTCCAGCATTAGCCTTATTCTTATTGGATCCCCATGCCCAGACAGATGGATAAGCAGCAGCAGTAAGATATGGAGAATAGACAGATGGATAGGCATATGCAGATGGGTAATAGGCTGCTGAATAAGCTGGAACAACCACTTGTTGATGAGAGAATCCAATCATCATGGAGCAGAGAACGAGGGCGACAATGCTGAAAATTTTTGGATTTTTGAGGAAATTTGTGACTGTAAACCTTACCACTTAGCGAACATATTGAGTGACGTGGAAGTGTATCCAACCTTTAAATTTTTGAGTTTTATACCCAGGCAGAAAATGAAATAACTAGTCGGGTGCACATACTAAAGTTTCTTCTGTTCATACGAGAACAAACATGAGAGTTCTTTTCTGAAAAAAGTTCCGCCGTTCATTGTTTTTTGTTTGCACTTGGCTAGCAAACTGTGAACGAGGTCTTAATTTTAGAATGGAAGAAATGTCAGGTTCACATTATTTTCATGGTATCGGATCGGAAATTGTGCATCATAATTGGACATCTGAAATAGTTTTGGTTAGAAATTTTGGAAAAAAACATAATCTGAAAAAATCTGATTTATTGCCGCCTTCTAAAACTGAAAATTTTCCAAGAACACATTTCTAGATTTCTCATCTCTAGATGTCTGATGTTTAAAATCCTTATATCATTTTGAATGCCGACACATTTTCTGTTTGATTGATGGATCAGCTTTATATAGAGATTTGGCAAGTGTCAAAGTTTTGATATCCTTTGACCCTGTAATCTGTAATCGCCCATTTTGGTACTACGGGGATGAGGTCAAGAAAGATAGAAGGGCTGAAAATGTCATAGTGCATGTGAGAAATCCTTTTTTGCATTCTCTATTTCTGAAACAATTCACCCATTACAATAACATACTGAGATTGAAGTGATTCTAGGGGAGAATTTAGTTAAAAACACTCAGCATTTAGGTCAAAAGTGAGGAAAATCTAAACAAAAACATTTACAAAAACTCAAAAAAAGAAATTCGCAGTCAGCAGGATTCGAACCTACGCGGGCAGAGCCCAATTGATTTCGAGTCAATCTCCTTAACCACTCGGACATGACTGCATGGAAAGGAGGGAGGGAAGAAGGCCAACACGTTACTAATGGAAATGGGCGTTTGCAATTGGCTGTTGTTTGCAAAACCAAATGTACGAAGCTCAAAATTCGATTATAAAACAGAACTGGAACCTTCTTAAATTCCAGAAACTCTGTACAAGGTCCGAAGCAATAATCTTCAATAATATCACAGTTTCTGATTGATGACTGCCTAGAAAAGTGACAAGAAAAATTTTTGATCCCCTTGATGCGCGAAGACAGATTGAAAAGTGCTTTCGGTGTTTGATTATCTCCACCATTTTCTTTTCATCGTATCGTTATTTCCTATTTTCTCGGGATTTTATAGGTATGCAGGTAATTAAAAAGGGTAGAAAGCGTAACGAATGATACGGAGGGATACTATCTGGAGAGAAAGGTGGGAACAAGAGACAGTGATTGGGTTGATCTATGAAATAGTACAGTTAAAGTAGAAAATGCGCTCTACTGCAATTCTGTTTGATTTAAGTTTTTGAGAACTTTGTAGATTAAACTAGATTACGGTAGCGCGTCAATCAGCAGTTTGTCAGAAAACGGCGCCTCCAACTATGACCAAATTTATCTTGCTTCCTGTAAAAGATATAAGAAAATGGATAACTGATAAAATAATAGTTTTATTATGGTAACATTTTTTTAGTTGACACATTTTTGATATCTTTCAGGAAACGAGAAAAAATGACTCAAAGTTGATTGGGCCCTCTAATACTGTATATTTTCTATATAAGAATGTATTTGGATAAGCTTAGGTTTGGCAAAGTGAGATTTTCAGAACTAGCTGTTTTAGTCAATTTTGAAATGGGAATTAGTGGCCTTGAAAATAAAAGTTAGGCCATGATGGTAAAGAAAACGCATCTAGACACCTGGGCACTAGGTGTTATGCAGAGCTACGCGGTTGGATGGTACTGTATGATAGCCAGATGAGAAGGTGTGTAAACCTTCACGCGAAATTGCACACCCTTGCTCTAAACCAAGGATCCCCTTTTCCCAAACCCCCCCCTTTACCTTCAAATTCCTAGATGTTCACCTTATCAAAATTTCGAACGACCCCCCGTTGTGTGCTAACACTATCTCCCTTCTCGATTCGATTTGTCATCGAATTCCCCCTTTAATTGTGTCGGATTCTTGAGGTTACCCCTGCCAGGCCGGTTCCTCGAAATTGTTCGGTTTTTATGAGACCGTGTTTGGCTATTAATTGAGGAGGGGAATCTTGAGGAGGTTAGCATAAAATGATAGCAAAACACAGATGAGAGGGGTAATTTGATTGGTTTTTTATTCAGAATGCTTATGGAACAAGAAAAATAAGAATACGTCATTTTGAGGAAATTCAGAGAATCATGAAGCATATAATTATAGAAGAATCTCGGATTCTCAGGATCTCAAGATCTCTGAATCTCAGAATCTTAGAATTTTAAAATCTTAGAATCTCAGAATTTCAGAATTTCAAAATTTCTCAGTTTCAGCATCTTGGAACTTCAGAATCTTAAAATTTTAGAATCTTAGAATCTCAGAGTCTGGAAATCTCAAAATCTCTCAGATTTTCTGAATCTCAGAACCTTAGAATCTCAGAATCTCAAACTCTCAGAATCCCAGAATCTCAGAATCTCAAAATCTCAGAATCTCAGACTCTCAGAATCTCAGAACCTCAGAATCTCAGAATCTTAGAATCTCAGAATCTCAGAATCTCAGAACCTCAGAATCTCAGAATCTCAGAATCTCAGAATCTCAGAATTTCAAAATCTCAGAATCTCAGAATCTCAGAACCTCAAAAATCTCAGAATCTCAGGATCTCAGAATCTCAGAATCTCAGAATCTCAGAATTTCAAAATCTCACCCGAATTTTCAGAATGAATCAAAATCTGGAAAAAAGTCGATCTTCTACCTACCGTACCATCAAACACCGAGCCTACGACCTAGTTCTAGAGGACGACCGAAATTCAGAAGATGACGAAAATTTGGAGGTGTGAGTTTTTTCCAGATCTTTCTAGAATTTCCTACTGTAATCTTTTTTCCAGATTCCCGTTCAAATCAATCATCCATTGATACAAGATGGTCTTAACTGATTTCAAGTATCACTGGAAATCGAAAAACTGGAATTTCAGCTAGAATTCTGAGCCTCAAAATCTCTGAATCTCAGAATCTTAGACTTTCAAAGTTGGAAATCTGGAAATTTGAATGATCGCAGAAATCCGAAAATCCAAGGGAATTCTAAAAATTAAAAGTTTCAAAAATCTGAAATTTTCTGGATTTCCAGTGCCCTGAAAGTTTCCATAACGTCAGAAAATTCCGAAAAATCGGACAAATTTTAAAAATCACAAGAAAAATTGAAAATCTTGAAATTCCAAAAAAAAAATCCAGTGATACTTCAGATTCCAGTATTTTACAGTTTCCAAAATTTAAGATTTTTTGGAATCTCAGAATCTTAGAATCTATCTAAATTTCAAATAATCGGATTTAAAATAAAAAATGACATCTAATGAACGTTTTAAAAATATGATGGTATCAAATTAACACTAACTGTCCAAACTTTGAATCCCTAGTTTTTTTCCACTTCGCGAAGACTACACTCTCTCTTCTTTCTCCCGATTCGAAGATATCTAAATGTTTCCTTTTGTTTTCATAATCATAATATTCTTATAAAAGATATAGAATTTTCCAGAAATTTACGATCATATGATTATCCTTCCCTCGTTTCCCCTCGTTAAAACACAAAAGCGCATCATTAGGTCAAGAATCGAATGATATCATCTTAAGAACACTGAGAAGACCGTTAGTTTATATAAGATACACACCTTTTCTGCAGGTGAGAAAAAGATGCGGAATGAAAAGTGACGTTTTTGAATGATTTGGTTTTTGGACAGGTGGGGGATTACGGTAGAGGAAGGGTATGGGAAACTGGATCAGTTTCATTTTTATCTATTCGTTTTTATGATTTAGTTAAATGTTAGTGGGATTCCTTTGGTAAGGATTACGGTAGCCTTTTTGTATCTCGAGAATGATGAAATATGCTAGATTGTGAAAAATGTTTTGAATCAAAAAAATACTGTCAATAGAAAAGCCCCTCAACTTTTCACTTACAGCCAATTTTAATCGGTTTCAAAGATATAAGAAAGTTGTCAACGAATAAAGTGATTGGGGCCCTTCTATTGCAGTTTTTACAGTTTTTCCTTTTTATACTAAATTGCACACTTTAATGTCCTTGTCTGATATATATTCCTTTGAAGTGTAAACTTTAAACGGAAATGTTGAAAATTTGAGCTTTCCGAATGTACACCATATTTCCTCTAACAGTCTATACTTTAACAGCCTATACTTTAGGGGGGATCCTATTAAAATGCTTACGGTAAGTTTGAAAATTTTGCGTAATTTTATTCGAATGATTGACCAAAAATTGATACAATTGAAAGTTAAGGTTCTAGATTTGATTTACATTCTCTGAAATTTTTCCTCTGAAATTATTTACATTCTCTGAAAACAGTCCTAATGAACATAACAAGTTTACCATTTTCAACACTTGAGTACTGTAGCCTCTGTTAGTCCCCCAATACTTCTACCACTCTATTTTCCTCAAAAAAGTTTCCAAAGTTTTAACTAGATTACTGTACGAAAATTCGTCATATTGAGGTCGCGCGAACTCTTCTCCAAATGACATCATACACAGTTTCACTATTCTCAGCAGGTGGTCCGTTTTTCCCCAAGGACTATATCAAAAGGCATTTCCCAAACCTTTGAACTTCAAACTTTTGAATTCTTGGTAAAGCTAGAGTGGATTAAAATTTGGAAAATGAGACACAGAGAAATGGAAACGAAAACAGTTTGCACTCAAAAATTATCGGAGGGGATGCACGCGAATCGCACGGGAGGAAAATCGGAGGACCTGGGGGATTATGACATCGAGAATGACCCTGAGCCAGAAAAACAAATCGGGCCCACCGTTAAGAGGGTATTAAGGAACCAATGACACTTTCTCGAAGGAGAGGGATCTGATTGAATCAGAATAAACTGAATTGAAATCGGTGAAATTGGGGTAAGGGATAGTGAGTGAGTGAAATGAATTTAAATGCTGTGTTTATGTTTTGAATATGGGATTTCTCGGAGATTCTCGGTACTAGGATAGGTGTAAGTAGGATTTGGAGTTTGTTAATTTGGTTAGAAGATTCTTCGAAATTGTGAAATTCGCTTCAAATGTCAGATACAGGCCGTGTGCTAAATATAGGCCTACAATGTTTCAGACCAGTCAAGCTATTTTAAGGCTCAGAGGTTCAAAATTCACATGTTTTGGCCGCGTCATAAAAAAGGGAACTCATTGAAAATTGAAAAATCACATGTCCCAAAATCAGAAACAAATTTCTCCAAATTTTGTAGAGTTCCTCTAGAAGCGGAACTTTTGTGCGAACTGAGCTAAGGGCTACTGGCTGAGCTACGGCAACTTCCGCATTGAATGTAAACATATTAGATTTTGGCGGACAGGTCCCAAATTCTTCAGGTCCACTAAACAAAAATAGAGCTTCAATTTTGCAGTTTACAACTGTTTTGTACAATTTCATCAAAATGAGATTTACCACTTTCTGAAAGTTTTGACACTTGAAAGGTTTCCAGCACTTTATCTCATTTGGACAAATTTTAACAAAAAAGTTGTCAACTACAAAGTTGAAGCTCTGGTTTTGGTTAGTATTGTCAGAAAGTTTGAGGAAAATCAAAAAAATACTGAAGTACTTTTGTAGGACATTAAAGTTGATCATTTACAATGTAAAATAGGGGAAATTAGGTAAAGTTTGGCCGGAAAGGAAAAAAGTCAGACAAATACCTCAGCATTAAATAGTTGTCTACAAATTTGAGATTGCAGCTATTTTAGGGGGAAAATTAACTGAAAACACTCAAAATTTAGGTTGAAATTAAAGTAAATCGATCAAAATTATGATTTCCTTTCCCTCAAAAAAGTAAAAAACGAAATCCGCAGTCAGCAGGATTCGAACCTACGCGGGCAGAGCCCAATTGATTTCAAGTCAATCTCCTTACACAGGTGATTCGTGATTGACCAATTACAGATGAAGAGCTATAAACGACCCAATTACTCACCTACCGCAAACTAGTGCTTCTACAATTGAACATTCACGAGCACATTGCGTATCTTACTAACTGACCCTATAAAAGGTCTACAATTGACCAGTCGCGAAAAAATTCTTGTTTTTTCTTTTTCGAAGTTCTTTCACCTATTTTGGTTATTTTTCATCGTTTTTTTTCAGTTTCCTTCGCAAATTTTGTCCGTAAATTATTATTTAACTTACAAGAGCATACTATTAGGTTGGCGGGAAAGTCTTTGTCACTCTGTTTGTTTAATCACTGTTCTCGTATATGGAGGCTGTGTATGATATCGACTCTAGTGAATAACAAGGTGATAAGAACCTTCCATATAAACAAGTCCCCATTTCCTTCCCTGCTCCTCATCTGTAATTGAAACGATATGTTTGTTCCCACTGCTATTCACATCAGACATGTTTTGATTTACCTCTTCCTATCTCACACCACGATGAAGGATTCGGAATCTTTCTTGAAGAATGTGTACAACCACATGCCCCTCACTACAATACTATTCGCAATTGGTTCCATCGTTTCGAAAAAGATGACTTCTCGCTCGATGAAAAGGATCGCTCTGGGAGACCCCGTGAGTTGGATTTGGACAAGCTGAAGCACGCATTGCAATCGGATCCATTTCAATCTAGCCGTGAACTAGCTGTCACATTCGGAGTTCACCATAGCACAGTCCTTGAAGGTTTGAAGTCTCTTGGAATGAGAAAACTTTTTGGTCGATTCATACGTCATCACCTGACTCAAGCCAACCTTGACCGCCGAGTCGACGATTCGATTACTCTTCTCACTCTCCACGCGGGCTGGACCGGCTAATAACCGGAGATGAGAAGTGGGTCTTCTACGATAATCACCACAGGAAATCCCAGTGGGTTGGAGAAGGAGAGAGCCCACAGGATGTCCCCAAACCCGACCTTCATCCGAAAAAAGTTATGCTCTCTGTGTGGTGGGGAGTGGACGGCCCCATCTACTGGGAACTTCTGCCCGAGGGCAAAACAATAACTGGAGACCTCTACACTACTCAACTACGAAACCTCAAGAAAGCAGTCGACCGTTCGGCCCTGAAAGACAAGAAAGTGTACTATCAACATGATAACGCTCGCCCACATGTTTCGAAACAAGTGAAGCAGGAGCTGATGGGATATGGATGGAATGTTCTCCCTCACCCCCCGTATTCTCCTGATCTTGCTCCTTCCGACTATTGGTTATTTGGCGATATGACACGTGCCTTCGAAGGAAGAAGCTTCAATTCCCGTGGAGCGGTCGAAGCGGCACTCAAACAATACTTTGCCTCACGCCCGGCTGGATTCTACCGCAATGGAATCCATAAATTGAGGGAACGTTGGAGACATGTTGTTGATAATGATGGACAATATAATTAATTATTCGGTTATTTTTTCTTTGAGAAATAAACTATTGAAAAAGTGACAAAGACTTTCCCGCCAACCTAATAGAATACTGTCTCAGCCAGTAGTTTGCTTTTTATTTGTAGAAAAATTGGAAAAATGGCCAGGAGACAAATGTCGGAAGCTAGAAGTCGAAATTTTGGTTTATTCAGGAGATAGCACTGCTACTGTACTTTCAAAAGGTAAGAAGCGTTCAGAAAGTCCGAATTTCAAATCCAATTTTTACAGAGAGCCAGGAAATTCTCAATTTTCTGGTACGTCCACTGAGTACTCCGGAAAAGAAACGACTGAGAAAGAGGAAGGAAGAAAAACTGGAACGGTGGGTAGATTTGAAAAAAAAATCTGAGAAAAAACTTTAGTCGGAAGTGTCAAATTCGCTGATTTCGAGAAAATTTCCAGCCGATAACTTCTGTCAGAGGCATAGTACAAAAATTAGTGGGAGCTTAAAATTTCGATAAATCATTTCAGTTTGCTATCCGAGATTCTACAGCGTCTTCTCCTCCCCCACTTGGACCGTCATCGAAAAAGACAAAGCCAATTGTAGGAGATTTGCTCGCGATAGGGCGAATATTGGTCGTTTGCAGTGGCGCGTTTGCGATTGGTCTGTAAATGGCCTGCGGCAGGCATGTTCCGATGTACCCATGGCGTCTTTCCGCGAACAATATTTCACCTATTATAGACGCTGCGCGAATCACCTGTGTATAACCACTCGGACATGACTGCACAGAAGGGAAGGAGTGAAGAAGGCCAACACGTTGCTAATGGAAATGGGAATTATTAAATAGACTAGTCATTTGCCAGATATTCAGGTCCTGAAAGATTGTGATTCCAAAAGGATTCGGTTTGAAATTGCTGAAAGTCAACGATATCAAGAAGTTGTCAATGGATAAAATATTGATGATATTATGATAAACAATTCATCAGTTGACAGATTTTTGGTATTTTTCACAGGAATCGATATAATCAAGCTCAAAGTGGACGGTTTGTGTGGGCGTCCGTACGAGGAAATACGGTATTATCATTTTCAAGTTTGCTGAATCATAGAATCAATTCATACAAAAAGTTTTCAACTTCAAAAAGGAAGCTCTATCCTTGTTTCGTATATTCTGAAAATTTCAGCGAATCGAAAACATTTGGGTGGAGTTACAAAACATTCAAATTGTCTTCAACTTTATGTTTTGATGGTTTTCAAAGAACAATGTAACACCTTATCAAGATACTTCTTGACCTATCTATCTCTTTCCAGACATGCACATCATCAATCAATCAATCAACCGAAATGACCTGAAAAATACCTTTTTTTCCACCTTATCAGTATACTTTATTCTGAACATTCTGAACCTATTCCCCCTCTTTTCTCTCCCTATCCATTTCTCATTCCTCCTTTTTCTTCATCCCGACGTTTCATCCCCGAGGAAGCTTCTGAAGGCTCCGCCCACTTCGGGATTTGAGAAGCGGAGAAAGAATAAGAACTACTCATTTTGTATTCGTTTTCATTTCTCGGAGAATTTTGCAAAAATGAAATTATCTGTCAAAATGTTGCTACTACTTTTTTGCATCTTGTTGACTTATAGTAACACAGAAGGTAGGATTTGTTTACAGTTTTTGTGACTGGAGTTTTGTTTTTAAATTAAAAACCGTGAAAAATATTGAGGACGCAGTCAGGGAGAGGTGATGGTCTCTACCGGACTGAGTCTCTTACAAGCGTATCCAAACGCTTGCACTTTGAGTTCAGTTATCTCGGTTCCTATAAAAGATGTTTAAGTTTTGTCAACTAATAAAATGTTTGTCATAATATTTCCAATATTTTATCAGTTGACTAGTTTTTGATATCTCTTAAAAAATTGAGATAATTGAGCGCAAAGTTCAAGTATGAGCGTTCGATAAGATCATTGACGACATTTAGCCTGGAGCCCCTAATCTCAAAATGTTCTAATTTTTAGAAAAAAAAATTTTAAAATTTTTTATTTAGCTCTCCTTTTCTTTTTATAATAAACTTTTGTACAACGCCACTTCAAAATAATTTCTCATTGAACCTAATTATCTCGGTCCCCATAAAAGAT